TGCACCTTGTACTAGTAATAACTCTCCCCCTTTGCCAAATCTCACACCTACTCAGAAACTTCCTACTTCTGTGAATCAGGCAACTCTGAGCCAGACGCAAGGAAGTGAAAAATTGCTGGTATCTTCAGCCCCGACACATCTGACTCCCAACATTATTTTGCTAAATCAGACACCACTTACTACACCACCAAATGTTACTTCCTCACTTCCAAATCATATGTCTCCTTCAATCAATTTGCTTGTGCAGAATCAGCAGACACCAAACAGTGCTGTTTTAACGGGAAACAAGGCCAATGAAGAGGAGGAGGAGGAAATTATAGATGATGATGATGACACTATTAGCTCCAGTCCAGATTCGGCGGTCAGTAATACATCTTTGGTCCCCCAGGCCGATATCCCCCAAAATGCCACTTTTGATGGATCGTTGGTACAGAAGATGCAGATTCCTACACTTCTGCAAGAACCACTTTCCAATTCTCTAAAAATTTCAGATATAATTACTAGAAACACTAATGATGCAGGCTTAGGATCAAAACATCTAATGGAGGGTCAGAAGATCATTACTTTAGATACAGCTACTGAGATTGAAGGCTTGTCGACGGGTTGCAAGGTTTATGCAAATATCGGTGAAGATACTTATGACATAGTGATCCCTGTCAAGGATGACCCTGACGAAGGGGAGGCCAGACTTGAGAATGAGATACCAAAAACCTCTAGTGGTGAGCCTGCAAACAAGCGTATGAAAGTAAAACATGATGATCACTATGAGTTAATAGTAGATGGGAGGGTCTATTATATCTGTATTGTGTGCAAAAGGTCATATGTCTGTCTGACAAGCTTGCGGAGACATTTTAACATACATTCTTGGGAGAAGAAGTATCCTTGCCGTTACTGTGAGAAGGTATTTCCTCTTGCAGAATATCGCACAAAACATGAAATTCATCACACAGGGGAGCGAAGGTACCAGTGTTTGGCCTGTGGCAAATCTTTCATCAACTATCAGTTTATGTCTTCACACATAAAATCAGTTCATAGTCAAGATCCTTCTGGAGACTCAAAGCTTTACCGTTTACATCCATGCAGGTCTTTACAGATTAGACAATATGCGTATCTTTCTGATAGGTCAGGCGCTATGCCTGTAATGAAGGATGATGCTATTGGGTATAAGGTTGATGCTGGAAAAGAACCTGCAGTAGGGACCACATCTACTCCTCAGAACAAGCCAATGACCTGGGAAGATATTTTTATTCAGCAGGAAAATGATTCAATTTTTAAACAGAATGTAACAGATGGCAGTACTGAGTTTGAATTTATAATACCAGAATCTTATTGAACTTTGAAATCTCAGAAAGTTTGGTTTGCGTTCAGGGGCAGGGGTTTCAAAAGACCTGTAAAACAAGGTGAAAATGAGTTCCTTTGATCTGCTGTGTCATCTAAAGGCAGTCTAGTTGGATTATTTGTTGATAATTTTTAGAAGCAAATTATTCTGAAAGTTTTGAGTAGAGATTGAAAAGTCCCCCTCCCCCCACGAGTATCTGTTTATATAGTTAGCTTTCAGCTCGTTTTAAAGAGGCAAAGAGAAAAGAAGCTTGGAGAGATAGTTTCCTGAATAGAATTTGAAGCAGTCTGAATGTTCTTTGAAAATAACTGGAGTTATTAGCATACCCTAGTTTATCTTATAACTTTCCCCTTCCATGTTAGCACTTTACTGCTAAATTCTCAATTATCTTAATATTGAGACTATAAATGTGTGTTGTGTTTTGGATGTGGCATAAAAAGTAAGCAAGAACTTCTAAAGTTGTTCTGGAAAATTTCAGAATAAGTCTCTGCTTGATTGTGTATTCTGCTAGTCCAAATGGATAGCAACCTCCTGCCTCCCTCCTGCCATGAAAATGGCCGTGCAGACAAGTGTCTCATCTGAAGAAAACGTTTAGCTAATTAGAGTTAAGTTTTGCTTTTATTGCCATCGTCTGGAAAAGACTTTGGTGGCTGGACTACTGTATATATACCTTTGCAGTGTGGTCTCTGTGGGCAAACATGTTAATGGAAAACAAATCTCTGTATTGCAGACAGGAGGAGAGGAAAAGTTCTGTTGTATTTGTTTTGAATTCTGTGTTCTTAACGATAGAGAGTGGAAGTGAATGGAGAGTTCCTTTTTTGTTTGTATGGTTAAAAATATTCCCTTGAGAAATTTCAAAGTTTGAATCTGAAAGCCACCAAATAAATCTTTCATTATGTATAAATCTTTATAAATGATAGATTCCATAAATGAGACTCCTACGTATTTTAGGCGGGAGGCTACTGGTATATATTTTTAAATGTTCATATTACTTAGAATTTCTAATAGGAAAAGTTTTCATTTGAAATAGTTGAATCCGTGATCTAGTATTTTCCTTTCACAAGATGTTTTATGTTTTTACCCCTTCTAAAGTAAGTTCCATTCCATCTGCAAAGTGCTGCAATATTATAGCAATCAGAAACTATATATGGAAATGTTATATAGGCTTGTTGATTCCTGTTTATCTTGAAAACAATAAGTGTACCTTTTTTCCTTTTAAAAGGACACCTATTTAAACACTTCGAAAATAAAGTCGAAACTCCTTCAAGTACTAATACTAAAAGGAAGCAGGTTGGAACAAATATATAGCCTAGCCTTTATAACAGGATTAATGTGTTGAACTTCTGTAAATTACTTTTTGCAAAGGAAAAAAAATTAATAGATACTGAAAAAGATTGTTGTGCATAGTTGCTAGTCCTTTGTAACCTTGCTTAAATATTTCTTAATTCAACATGTTTTCTTTCTCTGTGTATTTTTAAGAATAGTCTATTTCTTGACTTTGAACTTAAAGCTTTAATCACATTTTCTCATGTATACATCATTCTTCTGACGGTAAGCTAGATTTGAAGATAACGGTTTCAGTGTTTCAGTTGATAGGTGAGGTTATCAGGCCTCAGTATTTGCAATAATATGAGAAGGAAGAAAAATATTCCAATCTTCGGCTTACCGAGGGCTAGAATGATGTGCATCTGTCTGTTTTCTGTTCTGTGAGTCTGGACATTCAAACCATTTTGTGAACTAATCCTTGGAAAAGTTTAAGTTACCTTATAACTTAAGGCTCTGATCTCTGGAATCACAATATCTGTTTCCTTTCTGGGTAGATAGTAACAACATTACTCTTTGACTATAAGGTGCACTCAAATATTTTCAGTGGAAATTTGTTCGAGTTTCATTAATGCTGTCTCACCAGTTAGACATAAGGACTTCTGCAAGTGTGGATGATACTGATGGCCAGCAGAGCTTCCAGACCTTTCAAACTTAATTGCTAGGGAAATTAGTTGATCTTAAAAAAACCTGAGAGTTTCTACTAGGCTATTTTGACAAACCAGGAATTGAGTCTGTAATAGAAAACTCTCCATTCTGAATAATATGGATGTAATTATTTGCTGCTGCTGTGCAAATTCTGAGTATAAAACTTAAACTCTGTGCCCAATGAAGGTATCTTCTAGAGTTTTTTGGGAGAAGGAAAACTGGAATATTAACTTGTATTTTTGCCAGAAGACTCTTCCTTGCATGTATGTCAGGGTCTTCAGTTTTTTCAGAAGTTTCTATATCCAAAGTTCAGAATTCTTGTGAACTACTCCTTTGGGGCTGAAACCATTCACTCCCACTGTTTATTGGGTTGGAAATCTGTAGCAAGATTCTGTTTAAAACTTACCGTGGTGTTTTCCTATTTCATACTTAGCTTTCTAGCTATTAAATTCCTTCTTTTTTTCTTTCAAGTTGGCTGCAAATTTGCTCCTGTGCTAAATTACCTGTAAACCTTCTGGATTGGAACTGTTTGAAATAGCAATTTGTTGAAAGAGATGACAGAAAGTGAAAATGCTAAACTAGGCAAAGATTTTAAAATGCCATAGCAATCTTGCAAAATTTACTTTAAAATATATCTTAAATGATCATTATCATCTCGGTAGTACTGATCCCCCACATACAACTTCTATGAGGAATCCGTGTTGTCTTTTTTCCATTGTACCAAAAAGATAAATGGTTAAAAATGGTCAAGGTATTTTGTATTGTCAAGGCATGCCTATTCTGAAGGATCCAATGTGAATTCAATAGCACTGGCTTCCTCGCCTCTGTCAATCATACGAAACCTTGTTCATTTCCACCCAATACTGTAATGTTCATACTTGTACAATCTTTCCTGTCATATGACTTTAAGTTCTACTTTTCATTAACCATTTACCTGGTATTAGTTCGTAGAGCTTCTTATGGCAAAAATAAAATGTTATAATTCTGATTTTCGAGTGTATTTTTTACAAGATTATCTTTCAGAAATTATACAGACCTGGAGCACCTGGCTGGCTCAGTTGGTAGAGCATGCCGGTGAGTTTAGACCCCACATTGGCCATAGAGCTTACTTAAAAGAAAAGAAAAGAAAAGAAAAGAAAAGAAAAGAAAAGAAAAGAAAAGAAAAGAAAGAAAAGAAAAGAAAAGAAATTACACAGACTTCACTATTGTGTTGCTTTTCAGTTTTTGTGGTAGGAGACTGGGGTTATTTCTGATGACTACAAAATGAAATTTCCTACTAGTTTTGTAGGAGTGCTAATGATACTGACTCCATCTTTGGCTCTCCATCTTGTTCATGTCTGTGCAATGACCTCCCTTGGGGCTACATGTTCCAGGCTGCTTGGAGGTTAACGTATGTCCTGACCAGACACAAGGAGGCTTGTTTTGATCTTTCCTAAAGTTGTTTAAACAACTATACTAGAGTTAACAATTTCTTCCCCTCCCCTCTGGTATACAGATGGCAACACTTTAGATAACTACACTTTGACTTCACCACAATGCTCTATAAAATCTGTGGATTAAGGTCCGGACTTTGTGGAGAATAGCGGTGTAGTGCCTGGATTGTGGTCTGCTCCATTCCCCGTCACCGCCCCCCCCCAACAATAAGTTACCCAGAGTAAAACTCTGTAAGCCACTGGAATGGCATGGAATGGCTTGCTTCGCTTGCTTCCTTGTTAGGTCTCAAAATGCCTTCTCAGTTTGTAGGATACTTTACTGTCCCTCTTCTATCTTCTGACAGGTTTTATATGTTGGTTAATCACATCCCCATTGTACCTTGAGCTCATAGTCAAAAGTGAGTGGGCTTTTCTGTCCGTTGCTTCGGGATGTCTGTAATACTTATGTAGGTTCCATGAAGATGCACATACGTGGATAAGGAGGATGATAGTTTTATTAATTTGAAACATCACAAAAGCAGTCTGGGTTTCCAACATGGCAGTGATACAGATTTTAAGCAACATCCAGTTTATACAGGTTCTGGATTAATATTTTAATGTTTCATGCCCAGTTCAATACTGTAAAGCAGAATTAGGAATAAAGCAGTAAATATTACAAAATGCAGTGAAGGTACATATTGGAAATACAAATTCCTTCATTACAGCAAATGTTTTGCAAAAGAGTAAAGCAGCAAATATTAATTTTTCTAAGGTAACATGCACTTTATATAATTCAATGTAATAAAAAAGAAGCTGCTCAAATTAAGTGTTACAAAATCTATTCTGTTTCAAGTTATTTTGTAAAGTAAGAAAAATACATAGAAATGAGTCAGAGTCTTAACACTTTAAGAAATGTGATAAATGTAGAATATACTGTGTAATGGTGCCTTTTAAAAAATTAAATACTCCTACATGTTCACTAAAGCAAAAGGTACAGTGTAAATGGCAAAAAAAATTTCGAGTATTACAAGTTGGTATTTGTATAGTAAGTCAATTGGTTATTAGTCCCTTTTTGAAATCCAATAGAATTTAATATGCTCAGAACTGTAGAAAATAAGAGTTAATTTTATATGACACAAAGAGATTGTAGCTTGTCCGATTTGAACTCTGGATGAGGCATCAATCATGATGCTGGAAGTTAAACTGAATGCTTTGCAGACATTTACTGTGAACAATGAGTGCACTTGTTGTGCCTTGATAATTCTTGATGGCTGGGTGTCTACAAGGTAGATGGGAGCACCAGCATTTGCCTGCTACCTCTACTCCATCAAGTCGGGAGGTAGCGAAATTGGCCGGAAAAATTTCCAGTATGTGTTCTGTGTGTTTGCAGAACTGTCAAATTAGGTACCCTCCTGTAGCCCCTGTATTTTTTACATTATACAAGTGTAGGATTATCAGTCTTCCTTTAAATCAATCATTTCTCAGGTTAACATAAGATCGCAGTGAAAGTGTTCATTCTGAAGTGAAGGCATGGGTGCCAAAGTGTTAAATTCGTCAGGTGGATGGTTTAAAGCTATGCATAATTAAAAGAACCGAACAAACACCTACCACAATGTGCCAGATGGATTTTTAAATCTACGGTAACACTTAAGATTTGTCAAGTTAGCTACTTTTGAGGTTTTGCAGACTTAAAGCGGCATTGCAACACTTTGATAATCTTGAACACTGTCATGATTGGTCTCAACAAAAAAAAGGACCAATAAGAGCAGTGGTGTTAAAATACAGATGATTCTTTTGGGGTGGGGTGCAGGATACGTGCGGTTTGCTGGGATTGAAGCACAATATTTGAAGATTAAATAGTCACAAAGATTAGTAACAATTCGTATCACCACCCAGGAACCTAATCTAGCATTTTTAACTCCGAATTTTAACCGTAAGATTTCTATCTCCCATAGCGAATGTCTTTTGTAATACTGCACCACCACTGTCTCCTAAGTTACGGATGTGTAACAGATCATCTCAAAACACCTCACATGTTGCTCTTTGTATTTCAGTGCATCCTAAACAATCGATCCTGTTCCCCACGACTCGAGGGAATATTGCACTTTTCCCTTTGGGAGGTACTGATAACGAAAGCTGAGCTGAATGATCACAACAGCCATTTTTACAATACTCACAGAGAAGAAAGGAGTACAAGATACAGGCAGCGTTTTTCGACATCCAGACACAAACAAAATCTGAGCCAGAACTCTCTGTATTGGAACCACTGGGTAGCTCCATCTGGGAAATTTTCCTTAGGGACTGACTTTAGTGGTAGGGAAAGATAGGGCCTATATATAAGCCAGGTACTTCACCCAAGGTGCTAGGGTGGCAATCTGCCAAGGGTCTGAGGACAAAGTGAAAGAGGTGGCAACCACGCTGCCACTGAATACAGAGGTGGTGCCATAGGGAAACAATGCAGGTCCAAATGGGGACAAGCTTCTTGTGGGAATGGCTCCCCAGTCTTGCTTAGAGAGTGCGCTCTGCCCTTGGAAGTGCTGGGTTCAGCCTCGCCACCCCTGCTCTGCACCGATAAGGAATAAGCTTCATCCCTATCTTTCCCTAGCTTGGCAGGCCTTCGTAAAACTTTATGCATTAAGAATCACACTTTAAATTTTGTACCCTACACACTTCCACTAAAGCAGAAATACAAAAGCCACAGTAATCTCAACAGCCAGCAGGTATTCCTCTTTAGGGGCTGTAAGGTGGTGGTTTTTCAAAAGGCGGGTAGTAGGGCGGAGAGTAGCGGGGTGGTGCGCTCGAGGACCACATGTAGCTGGGCGAAGGCGAGGCCGACTGGGGCTCATCAGAAAGTCCAGAGGGAGGGGAGGATGGGAAGACACCGGAATGCTGTGTAATAAAAACAAAATGTCAGCTTAGGCGGGCCGGGTTGCAATTCCTCCACGGCCCATCGTTATTTAAAAATGAACATGGACCAAGTTTGCTTCTGTTTGGAACAATAGAATGCTCCTAAACTTCATGAAGTTCATGAGGAGCATGAGCCGGTTGGTCCCACTCTCTATCCCCCAGCCACTCCAACTGCACAGCTCCCATGCAGATAGCATGGAATCCTCCTCCCCGTTCCCTCGAGCCCTGCATCCAGTTCTCGATTCTTGTTGCTCCTACTTCTGCGTTGTCTCTTCAATCCACAACTCCCTTTTCCACGTTTACAGCCCAAGCTTCCAATACCTCTCCCTCGAGCTATGTCAGCAGCATCCCAGCTAGTCTTTGGAAGGGTTATTTGGACTTTAAGAGCATCTGAGGTTAAGCCAGTAACATCTGGGAAAGGCTTTGCTACCAGAATATGTCATCTCATCTCACAGACCAAAACACAAGACAAAAACTAAGGTCAGAGAGGTGAAGTGGGCTTTCTTGGACCTAGGCTCTTCCAAGTCCGACAATTTCTATTTCACCGTAACCGTAGCCCACCACCCCCAAGTGTGGGGCAGGTGGGGGGGGGCAGAGAGGCACACCGGCTTGGAGGGGAGAATACCAATGTTAAGGACAAGGAACAATTTGTCAGGTTGCAGAGACACTGAGGATTCAATTTTACTCTGTATTGTCTAACTTTGGTCATCTTTGAAAAGAGAGGAGATAGATTTTTAAAAAACCAAACAATGAATTGACATATCACGAGTCATTTGCTACTTCTCTTTCTCTGGCTCATTTATACCCTTGACCCTAAGGATTTTCTTGCTCAAGGATAGTTGACTTGTTTCTGTTTTGTTCATTGCCATAGCCCTCAGAGCTCAGAACAGTGCTTGACACGTATTAGGTGCTCAATTAATGTTGAATGAGTGACAGGAGTCACTCAGGAGTATGTAAGATGGACTTGGCATGTTTTTATTTTTTATTTTTTTAAGATTTTATTTATTTATTCATGAGAGACAGAGAGAGAGGCAGAGACACAGGCAGAGGGAGAAGCGGGCTCCATGCAGGGAGCCTGATGTGGGACTCGATCCCGGGACTCCAGGATCATGCCCTGGGTCAAAGGCAGGCACTAAACCGCTGAGCCACCCAGGAATCCCCGGCATGTTTTTTAAAAGTAAAATCTATTTTCTTAAAAAAATATTTTTAAGATTTCATTTATTCATGAGAGACAGAGAGAGGCAGAGGCAAAAGCAGGCTCCCTGGACCCTCCTCTGCAGGGAGCCCAATGCGGGGCTTGATCCCAGGGATGGCAGGAGGCCAGAGGCCAGTTTTAGGCTCTCAGGAAGGGTGAACACAATAAAGCCAACAAATAGGGCTGGAGAACTGCACATTTCTGGTGTGTCTTAGCTTTAGGAGGAACCGATATATTAAAAGAAAAACAAAAAGGGACCCTAGGTGGCTCAGTCAGTTAAGTGTTGACTCTTGGTTTTGGCTCAGGTCATGATCTTGGGGTCCTGGAATTGAGAGCCCACTGTAGGGCTCTGCACTCAGTGGGGAGTCTGCTTCTCCCTCTCCCTCTGCCCCTCCCCCTGCCCGTGCTCTTAAATAAATAAATAATCTTTAAAATATGGCTTTTAGAAAGAAAAACAACAAGACTCACACCAATATTTCTCAAGAGATCAAGTGCTGTTTGGGGGAGGTCATGCCTTTACTTTGTTCAGCTGGCCAGAGTCTGAGTAGAACATGTCATTTTTCCAGGCCTGGGGCAATCGAGAGTCAGGCTTGACATGAGCTTTCTGGAGCCTGAGACCATTTTGCTGAGTCTCCTTATCCCCAGTCCTCACCCCTGCACTTGTTAGAAAGGGCCGTCCAGATTTCGAGACACTGAAATATCTGTCCACATAATGTTGGGACCTACGAGGGATGTCACTGCCATCATTCCCTCCACCCCTCCTTCCATTATTTCGCCCCAAGTGCAGGAATGACAGGGTCACAGAACCTGCAGAGCCTTGAAAGACAAAACAGCTTGAGTCAGTGGACTGGAGACAAAGCCTGGTTCCCTCCTAAAATCTCAATTTCCCAGCCCCCTCTGGGAAGATACGCTTCCTTAAGACTTGCTAGTCACTATACAAACGTCCCCAGTGGGGTCAAGAGTCTCTGTGTCCTGGGGACGTGGGAGTCTGCCCATCTCAATGCCACTACAGGATAGTGAGAATCAGGAGGCTGCTGTGAGGTGCTCCCAGCCACGGACGGAGGTGCTCCCATTCACAGACAGGAGGCGCAAGTTTCCAGCAGCACAGCAAGAGGCAGTTCTGTCCTGGAGGTGCTGAAAGGCTTCTGTGGGCAGCACTGCTGTGGGTGGCAGTTGTACACTTTGATAGTAAAAGGGGGTGGCACAACGGCCTTTGGTTCTCACTTCTTGCTTTCAAGTTTGGGAATTATTCAAGCGGAGGGTGGGGGTGGGATGATTCTCACTTCCCTTTGAGGATACTGGAGTCTTAAGGATAAAACTGAAGGGCTCCTGGCAGAGCTAGGGAGCGAACTGGCTGCAGTCCACACACCCTTGGGGCCAGCGAGGGGTGGGGGGGTGGGGGTGGGTACAAGACCCACAGTACCAGCATGTAGTTTCCTAGCAACAGGCAGGCACCTTGGGAAGGATTTGGCTTTGTTGCAGCTGGGGAGCTGGCCTGGTGCGTTTTGGTTCCTAAGAGTCGACTTTACTAATGGGACAGGCAGCTCAGAAGAACAGAGCTTTGAATCCTTGCACACCACAAAGCATGAAAAGCATCTAAATAGCCTACTGCTGGGCCTCCTGTCAGCTGGAGCTTCCTGAGTTGCTTCTTCCAGGCTGAGGCGAGAAGGGGGACAAGTGCAGGAGGCCGATGGTACTATCAGAGGAGGACCACCCTCTCAGGACACACAAAGCTCTCATCTGTCGCCCTCACCTGCCCCCTCTCTGCTAGATTGCTGACCCACATGCCTTTGGGATCAACCAGGTGATAGAAGTTACAGCAAAAGATGCTGTGTTCCCAGGGTAAGATCCAGGCTTTCTTGGTTCTTTGCGTTCCCCCTCTGTTTCTTTGCTTTTGTTTTTTTTTTTTTGTTTGTTTTTTGTTTTTTTTTTTTTAAATTTTTATTTATTTACGATAGTCACAGAGAGAGAAACTGAGAGAGAGGCAGAGACATAGGCAGAGGGAGAAGCAGGCTCCATGCACCGGGAGCCCGATGTGGGATTCGATCCCGGGTCTCCAGGATCGCGCCCTGGGCCAAAGGCAGGCGCCAAACCGCTGCCCCACACAGGGATCCCTTTCTTTGCTTTTGAAAGCAAAGCAAGGGGTGATGGAGAGAAGAGTGGATCAAAGGAAGGCAGAGGAAGAATATGGGGGATCAGAAATGAGAGAGAAGAAAGGACAAGAAAGAAAAGAAGGGATTAACTTGGTAGGTGAGGGAAAATGCAGAGAAACAGCTGAGTTGGAGCAGCCACAGCCTTCTGAGGTTCTCCGCGACCCATGCCATACACCGCCCCCCCACCCAGGACTAAAGCAACTCTTTCATTAAATGGGCCCACTTTCGGGACCCCTGGCTGGCTCAGTGGTTGAGCATCTGCCTTCGGCTCTGGTCGTGATCTTGGGGTCCTGGGATCCAGTCCCGTATCAGGCTCCCCGCAGGGAGCCTGCTTCTCCCTCTACCTATGTCTCTGCGTCTCTCATGAATAAATAAGGGAAATCTTTTTTAAAGAAATAAATGGGTCCACCTTCTAGTGGGTCATTTTTGGTGGCTAAAGTGAAACCTCATCTACCCTCATGTGCATTAGTAAACAGCATAAACAGAGGCGTTTGCATTTTGCATAGGCTGAGACTGGTGTTTTAAGCTAAACGTGGCAATTCACCAGGTGGACAGGGAAGGTTTACAAAAAACTACCCTGGGTTGAATTTCCCAGCGGAAGTAGAAACTGATGCTTTTCACTGTACGGAATTTGGACTACTTGGCTAAAACTGAAGTACAGGTGGGAGGGAAGTGAACGTGGAGGCAACAGAAGTGAGTGGGGAGGTTAGCGAACAGCAAAGATCCTCTCAATTTCTATCCTTCCTGCCTGGGGGGATGGGGAGCTTGTGAAGCAAGGATGCCCTGGAATCCAGTGTTTGCATGATTCTTGTTTCTCCAAGCTCAGCACTTACAACATCCTCCCTCATGGACTTCGCTCATGTCTGACCACAAGGAATGTTTCCCAGGCTTCCTAACTGGACAGCTACCCAGTAAGGGCACGACTTGGAGGGGTTAAAACAAAACCCTATCCATTTCTTTCCTCTCCCTTCTATCAACCTCGGGGTAAAAAGGAGCAGTAGTCTTCAAGTGCAAAGTCACATATATAGTCCTATTTGGAAATGATTCGAATGGGGAAGTCATTCAGAAGAAAGTCTAGAAAGGTCATTTGTAATGTGGGCCCTGTTCCAATCTGAGAAGATCATAAGGGAGCTCTGGCTTTTTTGGTGACAGGGGTGGGTCTGTGGTCCTGGAGGTTTTATCCTCAGAGATGGTGTGTGTTTTGCTGATTGCCTTCTATTTATCTGGGAACACAAGCAGGTGTTCCCTCATCCTCTTGGCTTTCCTGGGTAAAGATTGGTATTTCCTCCTATGAAACTATAAGGGAATGAAAGTGTGTGAACAAAAGAAAGTGCAATTCAAACACACCATTTAAGTTCTGGGAGGAAACAAATAATTTAAGACTGCATCACTTAGGGCGCCTGGGTGGGTTAGTCGGTTGAGCATCCAATTCTTGGTTTTGGCTCAGGTCCTGATCTCGGGATCATAGGATCGAGCCCCAGGTTGGGCTCTGCTTTCAGTGTGAAGTCTGCTAGAGATGATCTCCCTCTCCCTCTCCCACCCCCGCTCCTCCCCCTGCTCGTGTGCTGCTCTCTCTTTCTCTAAAATAAATAAATAAAAACTTAGAAAAATTTGAAAAACCCACATTACTCAAAACCCACACCACACAACTCTAAAGTCTCCAAAAAGGAAACACAAAGACAGCTCAAACCTAGAAAAAGAACCGGGAGAGGGATGAGAAATGTCCCAGCAGCCCCTGGAGTGGGGATTAATTTAATAATTAATTGGAGAGAGTTTACTCCCTAGAGACCCCTTCTGAGTCATGGTTAGGAAGTCAATAATTTAAATCAATAAAAAATATAAATATCCTAAACTTAACTGGGGAAAAGATCTATGCTGTGCTCAGATTTATAGCTTCTCCAAAAAATTCTTCAAGCCAATTCTAGAGTCAGACTCCAATGACAAGAGACTGGCAATGACAAGATATTTCCCTCAAAGGATTAAATTGGATGATATATGTGAAGCACTCAGCACCATGCTTGGTGCATAGCAAGGGCTCAATGAATAGGAGCTGTTACTAACAAGTAAAGGCTTTCACAAATCCCTGACGTGCTATAAACCCACAGTGTAGGTTTCGGTTAGGCAGCTAGATTTGGATGCCTTCCTTGGGTTAGGGACCCTGTTTCTGGGTTTCCACAGCACTCTGGGTAAGAGTCTGTTGATGTTTTTGTCTCCACTGCTGTCCTCTGACCACCCCCTACCCAAGTCCCTAGACTGATCTCTCAATGCAATCAATCTTTACACCCACAGCTCCTAGCACAGTGCCTGGCACATGGGAACACAGATGAAACAGTGACTGAACCGAAGCCAACAGCCTAAGTCACTGCTGGCTTTGTCAGTCTTGTTTTCATCCCGGGGGGTAGTGTTTGAATGAGGAAGGATGGACAGAGAAACATCTCCATGCCCTCAAGAGAGGCTTCCTGTCTTAGAGTGTGCAAGGACCATCACCAGGGAGATTACTGTTCCTACTGTTTGCAGATTTGTTATAAAGTGAAAATTCCTAAAATCGATATAACTGGCATAATTGGCTTTGATAAAAACTAAATGGAGGCAGGGTATCTGGGTGGCTCAGTGGTAAGTTAAATCTTTTTTTTTAAAGATTTTATTTATTTATTCATGAGAGACAGTGAAAGAGAGAGAGAGAGAGGCAGAGACGCAGGCAGAAGGAGAAGCAGGCTGCATGCAGGGAGCCCGACGTGGGACTCGACCCCGGGTCTGCAGGATCAGGCCCTGGACTGAAGGCAGTGCTAAACTGCTGAGCTACCCGGGCTGCCTGGTAAATTAAATCTTAAAAAAAAATAAATAAATGGAGGCAGCCTCTTGGGCTGGTTGACTTTTTTTTTTTTTAAGTAAGCTCTACACCCAATGTGGGGCTTGAACTCACAAGCCTGAGATCAAGTTGTGTGTTCCACCGACTGAGCCAGCCAGGTGCCCCCAAGATGACTTTTTATTCCTGTGTTAATTTCAACATGCCTGTATTTTCTCTCTCTCTCTTTTTAAAAAGATTTTATTTATTTGAGAGAGTGTGTGGGAGAGAGAGCATGAAGGGGGTGTAGAGGGAGAGGGAGAAGCACACCCCTCGCTGAGGAGGGAGCCCAATGCAGGGCTGGATCCCAGGACCCCAGGATCATGACCTGAGCCAAAGGAAGATGCTTAATTGACTGAGCCACCCAAGCGCCCCATCCCTGCATTCTCTTATTTTTTTTTAAATTTTTTTTATTTATTTATGCTAGTCACAGAGAGAGAGAGAGAGAGAGAGAGAGAGAGAGAGAGAGAGAGAGGCAGAGACACAGGCAGAGGAAGAAGCAGGCTCCATGCACCGGGAGCCCGACGTGGGATTCGATCCCGGGTCTCCAGGATCGCGCCCTGGGCCAAAGGCAGGCGCCAAACCGCTGCGCCACCCAGGGATCCCCCCTGCATTCTCTTAAAGGACTCCTTTTGCCTCTGTCACTGCTGAAATTATCTACACCATTTTTGTTTTTTTATTTATTTTAATTTATTTTATTATTTTTAAAAAGATTTTATTAATTTATTCATGAAAGACACACACACAGAGAGAGGCAGAGACAGGCAGAGGGAGAAAAAGCAGGCTCCATGCAGGGAGCCCGATGTGGGACTCGATCCTGGGACCCTGGGATCATGTCCTGAGCCAAAGACAGACGCTCAACCGCTGAGCCACCCAGGCATCCCGTCTACACCCTTTTTGAACAGATTTGTGTTTCCCAGTCTGTAGCACCTATTTGGATAATGAGTTTCCTCAGTTGTCTATCTGTCAATACTATAGGCTTTAGAACAAGTTCTAGCATTATTTTTTCCCAAGCTTGGATGGACACCTCCTTGTTCTGATACTGTATTTTATAAGAGCGAACAAGTCCGTGTTCACAGGATGTATATTACTATTGCAATATACAGTCCTAGACCTCTGCATGCGGTATCTAAACCAAACAAAAGTATGCTGTCTTCAACAAAATGGGGTTTTCCGGGTTCAATTATTTTGTTAATCTAAAGCTGAAATTAGGTTGCCCAAGGGCTTTGTATTTGTAAACTGGCTGGCTAATTGGAAGCACCCCCAAACAGTCATGCCTTTATGTCCCCCTGGTCAGTAGAAGCAAATTCATTATGGGCACCTCTCCTTTTAAAGGTATTTCCTTTGGTCCTCAACTTTTCAATTAACCAGATTTCAGTGTAATCCCACTCTTCTATGGCCAAGGGTTTACAAGCACTGTAAATGTTGAAAAGACCATTTTGCTTGTTTTCCTGAAGTGCCTAGCCCCGTGCTCGGCACACAATGAATCCCTTTTAATTAAGGGCCTTTCTTCATTCTGTTTCTCTGTGCTTAGTCTCAGCTCAAAAGGAAAAGGGGAGAGTGCAAATCCTGTAACTCTATTTCTGACCCATGTGATAACAAGGCAGAAAAGGGGAGAGGGCTGTTATTAAAATAACAAAACAAAAACAAAAACGCTTCTCTGTTTTGTTTCCTAGTTAAGGAAGTCTGGAGAAAAACAAGGGACTTCTTCCTCATTGCAGATTTCATTCAGTCCCTTGTGTGGCCAGAGTCCCTTGTGCTAAGGAGCAGGACTAGGCCTCTTTTTGTGGCAGAAGAATGGGAAAAGCCACAGTTGGACAGGGGTCCCTACCAATGTACTAGAGGAGTATGTCTTCTCCTAGGTGCTGGTCAAGGCAATTTGGGACACCTCGACCCTCGCTCCTTCTCTCCCCTTTCCTTCCAGCTCTCCGTTCCCTGTGTCCTTCCCACCCTCCCCATCTCTCCCTTGTTGCATTGCCAGAGTCTTTAAGCTAGGCGCTGGTATCCACGGCTGCTGAAGGCCATCAGGGTTAGAGCCTGGCTACTCTGTATGTAGTTGGGAGGTTCCATAGTCAGCGAGAGAACAAGACAGCATGAACAGCAGCAAGAGTAAGAGAGAGTTCTTTTTCTCTCAAAACATACCTGAAAGTCATAAGCAGAATATGGCGGCAGGTGGGGAGGGCTATGGTAGTAGGTATTGTACGATGCCACTTGAGGACGAGCATAGTAAGAAACAGTGGGATGGGCGTTTTCAACAGAACAGTTCAGTGCTGGCAGAGTTGGGTTCTGTAAAAGAACACAAATCAGAAACACCATCAACGTTCCTCATCAGGAGAATGATTAAACGAACCGGCACGTCCATGCTGTGGAATACCATGCAGCTATTGATGGACCATGATGTGGACCTGTGTCTAGTGCCAGGGAAGGTTGTCCAGCAGACATCGCTAAGTAATAACAACAACAATGAGCCACTGGCAAAACTAAGGAGACAATAAAGAGATCGGGGTTGCTTGGGGTTGTGGCTGGGGGCAGGGAGGAAGAGGCAGGGCCCAGAGGATTGTTAGGCCAGTGAAGCCACTCTGTAGAATAGCAGCATGGTGGACGCATGTCGTCATACATTTGTCCAGACCCACAGAATCACCACCAAGAGTGAGCCCTGAGGTAAACTATGGACTTTGGGTGATAATGCCTTGTCATTGGAGGTTCATCCTTGACAATAAGTGCACCACTCTGCTGGGGATGTAGTTAATGGGGGAGGCTATGTATGGAGTGGGAGCTGCGAGGGCATGGGAAATCTCTCTACTCGCCTTTTCATTTTGCTGTGAACCTAAAACTGCTCTAAAAAATATAGTCTTAAAAATTTTTTTTTAAATTAAAAATATAGTCTTAAAAAAACTAGACTGGCAGCCCCGGTGGCTCAGTGGTTTAGCGCCGCCTTCGGCCCGGGGTGTGATCCTGGAGCCCCGGGATCAAGTCCCACATCGGGTTCCCTGCATGAGGCCTGCTTCTCCCTCTGCCTGTGTCTCTGCCTCTCTCTCTCTCTCTCTCTCTCTCTCTCTCTCTTTGTGTGTATGTGTTTGTCGTGAATAAATAAATAATATCTTTTAAAAAACAAAACCAAAAAAAAACCTCCACTATGTTATATAGCATGATTCCCGACTTACATAAAAACAAAGACCTGAACAACTGTGTGTGTGTGTGTGTGCGCGCGTGTGTGTGTGTGTGTGTGTGTATTTGTAAATGACAACAGACCATCAACTGTGGTTATCTCTGGGGAGGGGAGTAGTATCAGGAGGTAAATGGTGACCCTTTCTTTTCTTTTATGTATTTATTATTTTAAATAGGCTCCACAATGGGCATGGAGCCCAACGGGGGACTTGAACTCATGATACTGAAATCAAGACATGAGCTGAGGGGCACCTGGGTGGTTCAGTGGTTGAGAGTCTGCGTTTGGCTCAGGGCATGATCCCGGGGTCCCCGGATCAAGTCCTGCATCGGGCTTCCCACAGGGAACCTGCTTCTCCTTCAGCCTGTGTCTCTGCCTCTCTCTCTGTGTGTCTCTCATGAATAAATGAAATCTTTAAAGAAAGAGACCTGAGCTGATATCCAGAGTCAGACCCTTATTTGACTAAGCCATGCGGGCAGCCCTCTGTTTTGTTTTGTTTTGTTTTTTTAATCATATGAATTAGTTGTGTGAATTTCCGATTTTTTATTTTGAAAAATTCAAACCTAGAGAAAAGTTGAAATCGGTCATTTATGTGGTTTCGGAGAACCAAAAAGACAGAAAAGAATAAGACCCAAAATACAAAATGTCACATAGACAAGGCTGAACAGGCCACTGCACTTGCCGTGACTGAAATGCAATGAATCGAAAGGGTTTGTAAATGTCGTGAGGATTCCTGCGGATTCCAACCTTGCTAAGGGGCTCCTGTGTGACCGCCAAAGGTATTTATTTCTCGCCCCGGCCCTGGGGGGCGGGGGCGGGGTGGAGCAAACCCCAGCAGTGCACAGAAACCATGAAAGATGAGGTCAAGTATATTGATCCCCCTTGGGGTGCACACAAAACAACGCAGGAAGAATTTGATGTCATTTTTATAACATGATTTAGGTGCGTGTAGCCCTCCAAGGGTCAAAGCTGATCTTGCTGTGATGGGGAGTCCTGCTCTCAACTGAGCACTGCTAAGGGAAGTCACCACTGCTCACTGGTTCCCAAACACGACTGTCCCCAGCAGGACCTTGTGAGTGCCATATGGGTCAAAGTGCAGGGTAAATGTTTTTCCCCTTTTCCGTGTCATTGACACCGCTGCCATTTGTGTGGATAACCAAGAAAGGTCTGCAAAATCAATGCGTCTTGATTCAGGTCCGTATCTACTCCACATTAGCGGAGAGCAGAAGCTTCCTCTGGAGTGATGAAAATGTGTGGGCAGGCTTTGGCAGTGGCTACAGGCAGCCAAGCCGGGGTGTTGGCAGAGGAATCCTCCTCCTAACAAGTTTCAACACAGTTCTGCTGCTCTCTTCCTGGGAGTGGGCTACTGTTTACATCTCTGGGAGGTTTGAAGAGCTACAAATCTCAGGCATCACAATGCAGCTCCCAGACAAGCAGGGAAATGTTTGTCAGCTCCTCCCACGTTGGGGAGAGGGCTGAGATTCTTGACCATTCCAAGGACTGGATCGCTTTACAGAAGAGAAAGTGCTAGGAAACGCCCTTACCTCCCTACCAGAATTCTAAGAAGGAACCTCATCCCCTAGGAAATCCCAGAAAGCATGTTCCCTTGGCCTTCTGTCAATTAAAAACACGCCCTCCAGCTCTTGCAAAATGAAACCAGTCCTTCTATGCAAATAAACTAAGCCTACCCAGGGAGAAACAATCAGGCAATGTAAACTCTATCTATAAAAATTTTTGTGTGTTCAGCGAGGCCAGGGGCCCAGGGTAGTCTTTGAAAGGAAGTTGACTATTACAGAAAGAGCAACACAAGAGGAAGATTGAATGAGCACAGGAAAGCCACAGAAGAGAGGAGAGTCAAGGGTAGAGGGTATAGACAGAACGGACAGGGCAAGAGGGGTCGAGGGAACAAAGAGGTAAATGGGTGGGCAAGGAAGGAACAAAAGAGATGGCTCCAGGGACAGCCCGGGTGGTTCAGCGGTTGAGCGTCTGCCTTTGGCTCAGGGCGTGATCCCAGGGTCCTGGGATCAAGTCCCACGTCGGGCTCCCTGCATGGAGCCTGCTTCTCCCTCTGCCCATGTCTCTGCCTCTCTCTCTGTGTCTCTCATGAATAAATAATCTTTAAAAACAGACATGGTTCCAAATACATGTCTGGTGAGGTCTTAAGCTGATAACTCTGACTTTACAGCAAATTTGGGCTCTGTGTCTGTTCGTGCATGCATACAGCTGCGTGTGTACTTCTGTTAAAACTCTGGGGTGCCGAAGTTCTGAGGCTCCTGTTACTGATCAGTAGCACTCTGAGCTCCGGGGAACAAGAGGTTCCTTGGTGGCCCAGGAAACGGTGAACGCAATCTTGCCTGGACAAAACAGAGTCTATTCTTAGATGATGATTGCGGACTTTGAAAAGACTGCCTCTTTTACTCCTCCCCATTTTACTCCAAACCAGGGACCCCGATGAGGAGCAAATGGTAAGATACGGTCACCTTTTATTTATTTTTAAAAGATTTTATTTGTTTATTCATGAGAGAGACAGAGAGAGAGAGGCAGACCTAGGCAGAGGGAGAAGCAGGCTCCCCTGAAGGGAGCCTGATGCGGGACTCGATCCCAGGACCCCAGGATCACAACCTGAGCCAATGGCAGACGCGCAACCACTGAGCCACCCAGGCAACCCACGGTGTCTCATTTTAATAAATTGATCAAAGTAATGGCTCCCTTTTGGCACCCCATTTTCCATTCCCACTCGCTCTCCCATCTCATGAACCGGATGCCTTGCCCCTGATCTTTGCTCTCATCTTTCCTTTTCCCCACTGGCCTTTGACCGAGTTCCCAGGCCCGGCATTTGTACTTCCCTGGCCCTCCTCCTCCTTTCCTCCTAAAGAAGCTCTGGACGGTTGGAAACAACTCGCTTTTACTTGTTCCAAATTAAAGCAACTAAACAAAGGAGGTAATGTGTGTTGAAGCACTTGTAGAACCGGAAAGGGCTATCCAAACGTTGGTGCGGGCAACTGGGATGCAGTAGAAAGAGCAAAGGCTCTGGCATCTGACAAACCTGGGCTCCAGTCCCAGCTCTGCTGCTTAGTTCTGGGCAAGTCACTTGACCTCTGTTGGCTGTTTCCTCATCTGTTAAATGGGGGCAGTAATGCTTAGCTCATCAGGTAGTAATAGTGGTGAGCAGTGAAGAAAGTAATTGTGTGGAGCGCCTGGGTGGCTCAGTGGTTGAGCATCTGCCTTTGACTCAGGTCATGATCCCGGGGTCCTGGGATTGAGTCCCGCACAGGTTCCCTGTGAGGAGCTTGTTTGTCCCTCTGCCTATGTCTCTGCCTCTCTGTGTCTCTCATGAATAAATAAAATCCTAAAAAAAGAAAGTGTGCAAAAGCCCTTTGTATAAAGCGCCATCACTGCTACCTCTCAAGACAGACCCTCAACAAACCCCTTCCCCACCAAAGATCAAAAGTCACAGTGAAGAGCCCAGAAATAAACCTGTACATCGAGGGTCAACAGATTCCTTGCAGGAATTCCGTGGAGCCTACCGAGTAGCCACTGCCCACTACATTTCTGCCTCAGGCTACCCTGGCCGCCCAGGTCTGAAAGCACTAGGAATGTTCCAGAGAACCCTTAACACCCTTCCTGATGTCCCATGTCCTCAACTTACCAACCCCAGAGCTTCTCTTCCAGCCAAAGTGGCTCACATTCTATGCAGTGCCTCGGCTTTCACCTGTCCCCTGGGGAAAGTCTCCAAGAACACAAGGCACTCTTTGTTCAACCCAGAAACAGCTTTTCTGAAGCCTCCTCACCCCTAAGCTCCCTCAGGCCCAAACCTACAGGGCCTCCTCCCTCCAATGGTGCTACTGATGCTGGTGTGCCCCCCACTCATGAATGCTTCGGCTTGTCCCAGTTCAGTTCTGGGAGAGGCGCGGGAATGAGAAATGTGCATATGGGCAGCCCCAGTGGCCCAGCGGTTTAGCGCCACCTTCAGCCCAGGGTGGGATCCTGGAGTCCCAGGTTGGAGTCCCATGTCAGGCTCCCTGCATGGAGCCTGCTTCTTCCTCTGCCTGTGTCTCTGCCTCTCTCTCTCTCTGTGTCTGTCATGAATATGTAAATAAAATCTTTAAAAAAATTTTTTTAAATGTGCATATGAGGGGTGTCGGGTGGCTCAGTGGGCTGACTGACTCTGGGTTTCAGCTCAGGTCGTGATCTCAGGGTCATGAGATCGAGCCCCACGTGGGGCTCTGCCCTGGGCATGCAGCCTGCTTGAGATTCTATCTCTCCTGCTCCCTCTGCACCCACCTCCCATCCCTCTTACTCTCTCTCTCTAAAATAAAATAAATAAATAAATAAATAAATAAATAAATAAGTTAAAAAAAAAAAAGCATGTATGAGAGGAAGAGAAAAAAGACAGACAGACTGGCCTTGAGCAGGGAAGGAAATCTCTTGACTTGGAGTCACCGGCAGGAACACTCAATGACTTCCTCTCCACCTGCTCCTGCTGTGTTGAGTGTTTTCTTTTTCCTTGTTTTACCCCACCTTTCACTTACCATTGCTTAGCCTTTTGACAGTCCGAGATCAAATTACAAACTGCTTCTCAGGTTCCTGTTCCTCAGGGACCCAAAAATGGGACGGAAGCAGCCTGGGGCTTAGGGGCTACCTGCCTTGTTTCTGGGGTCAAAGGAAAACCCCTTTTAGGCACAAAATAATTCCCTAAACACATGTGGGTCGCTTCCCTAAAGCCGAGGTACTCAATCCTGGCTGCAGAGCAGAACTGCCCCGGGAACTTTTAAAACTATTGATGCCCGGGCTTCAATTTAGAACAATTAAATTAGAATCTCTGGGGACCAGGCAGCTGGGCTTTTTAAGCTCCTCAGGTGATTCTATTCTAATAGGAAGCCAGGCTGACAACCATAGCTCTAAGGCTATTATCTTCACAATTAGAGATCAAGGTTTTTGTTAAATAAGCAAATACTTTCCCAAATAAACAAAATCTTTTTTTTTAAAAAAAGCAAATAAATGCTTAGAAATGCTTTAAAAGCAAAGGAAGGAAGAAGCCCACTATTATAGAGCACTTACTGGGTGCTGAGTCCCCTGTGCTTTTGTGCATGCGTGCGTGCACACAAATATGGCAAGGAGTGGAGAGGGTGGATAGGGAACTCGGGGAGGCCAAGGTTGAGGACAAAACCCCACAAGCAGCTTAGCCCAGGGCTGGCCCGTCAAATGGAGAAAGAGAAGAGCTCAGATGGTCTTTCTGGAGAAACTCCAGGATGAAATTCCTGGGGAGGGGGAGACTAGCATCACCCTTACCTGAGCTAAAACAAAACAAACAAACAAACAAACAAAACCTCTTTTCTTCCATCTCTCCCAAATCTGTCAAGGGAAAAACTATCCAGAAAGGTTTCTACTAAAAGTGTGCGTTTGTGTGTGGGGTGGGGAGCGGGGGTGCATGAAAGGCTATGTTTACATAACTAGCATGAACGGGAGAATTGAGGACACCAGCTCCTCATCCCTACCTGCAGAATGTGCCTCAAGAACACACGCAACTCATGTTAACAAAGTTTTGCGCACTGATGATACTGCCTGGCTCCTTCAACTTGAGATGTATGAAGGCAGCTACATTCTTAAAGCAATTGTTTCTGATTCCTCCCTGGAAAACATGGGTCCCTATTGCCTCCAACCTCCCAGCCTCTACCCTGGCCCCTGACAGGGGCCTCTGGAATGGGAAGGCACTTCCTTCCTTACCATGTCCTTAAAGCCTCCAAGGACAGCGGCAGTGATGATGCCCAGGAACAGACCCACGATGTTGAGGATGGTGGCAGACCAGAGCAGGTGGTAGAGGTGAATGATGTCTTGGCAGCTGCTGACGTCAATGTATTCGTAGTACCCGCCGGTGATCTCCACGCGACTGGACAGGGAGAAGCACACACCAGTCAGTCCCCACGGAGCAGGCTGTCCCCCGAGGGCTTTGGCTACCTTGCAGCTCAGCGAAAAGACAGGTGAGCAGGTGGGGAGCTATGGTAAGGGACACCATAGCCATGAATGCACTGAGGGAGCGAGGCACTATACTAAATCAAAGTGTGATTGCTGTTTACCCAAAAAATAAATTTAAAAAACCACCTGCTACCTACCAGAGAAACACTTGTCACCATCACTATCAGAATATGTATACCTATCCATCTATCATCATAGATGTAGATCAAATCTACGATTTGATAATACGAAAAATAATACCTGTATAATAGTAAAAAGTGCTCTAGTCCTTACTACTAGATAGCATATATTGACACTTGCTCCATGCCAGGCACGGTGCTAACTAAGCATTTTACCTATGTGAATTCATGAAATCTGCGCTGTCGAATATGGTAGCTACTAATCATGTGACTGTTTAATTACAATGAAGTAAAACAAAAAATTCAGTTCTTCAGGCTCACCATCCACACTTCAGGTGCTTTAAAACAGCCACACTTGTAAGAGCCACCCCAGTGGCTGGCTACTGCGCTGGACAGAGCAGATTACATTCTCATCATTGCCAAAAGTTCTATTGGACAGCACCACAAATCCTTACGATATTCTATGAGGTAGGTACTATCACCATTCCCATTTGCCAGATGAAGAAACTGAAGCACAAAGTGCTTAGGAACTTGCCCAGGTCATAAGTGGTAAAGCTGGGCTCTGAATTCAGGCTTCAAAGATTGCAGCATTTCCTCTTTCAAAACAAAACAGCAACAAACAAACAAAGAAACAAAACACAACGTCCCAGTAAAGAACTAAAGCCAAGCTGCTGCATAACACCCGAATCTCACCTCCTTGGAGAGGCTGACCCTGGCCACTCTGTCCAAAGACACCCTCACCCCCACCCCACCCGGCCGCCACCATCTACCATATTACTTTCTATGGACTGAATTGCATCCCCCTCTAAAATTCATAAATTGAAGCCCTAACTCCCAACATGATTGCATTCTGACACAGGACTTTTAAGAGCTAATTAAGGTTAAATGAGGTTAGAAGGGCAGAGCCCTAATCCGATAGGATTGATGGCTTTATAGAAAGAGGAAGAGAGAGATCTCGCTCCATCTGCGCGCACTGAGGAAAGGCCAGGTGAGGACACAGGGAGAAGGTGGTGGTCTGCAAGCCAGGAAGAGAGCCCTCCCCAGAACCCGGCCATCCTGGCACCCTGATTTCAGACTTCCAGCCTCCGGTACTAGGAGAAAATGAATGTCCAGTTGTTGAAACCACCCAGTCTATGGTATTTTATCATGGCAGCCTGAGCTAATACATTGTCCTCCTTGAATCGCTCTCTAGCACTTATTCGTTACTGTCTGTCCCTCAGACTTGAATGTAAGCTCTACGACAGGGACTCAGTTCGTTTTGTTCGCTGCTGTCCCTGACACCTAGCTGGTGCTACATAAACACCTGTTGAACTGATTAAATGAAAGTTCCTGTCTTCTTGGATGTTGCAAACTAGTTTACAACTTGGCCACTGGAATCGCTAATGAATCTCCAACACTGTGGTCCTTAAAATTAAAGTCACGACCAAACACCTTGGCATCGGATGGTTATTACATGTGACTCCCCTCTTATAAGAACACTGGCAGTGAAAAAGGACAAAAAAAAAAAATTAAAGGTTAACCTCCAAAGAGAATCGAGGAGGGATTGTTCACACAAGAAAAGCCTTTTAAACCTCACAGATGATTTTATCTTAGGATTCTTTAAAACCAGTGCTTTCAATGTTTTTCTGAGGAATTGCAATCAGTGTGGTTACGGGACAGACTGCGTCAGAACCATCTGTGTTTGTGTGCATGTGTGCCTGCCTGTGTGTGTCAGTGCGTTGTGTGTGTGTGCATAGGTCTTTGAGAAAGAGATGCTTAAACATGCAGATTCCCAGGCCCAGTCCCACAGAATCTGGCAAAATCTCTGAGGGTGAGGCATGGGAAACTGTTAACGAGTTCACTGATATTTGAAACACACTGTTCTATTCATTTATTATTTTTTAAGTAAACTCTGCCTCCAACTTGGGGTTCCGACTCTTGACCTTGAGATCAAGAGTCACATACTCCACCTGACTGGGCCAGCCAGGCGCCCTGAAACCCACTGTTTTGTTTTATTTTTATTTTTTATTTTTATTTGAGATTTTATTTATTTATTCATGAGAGAGAGAGGCAGAGACAAAGGCAGAGAGAGAAGCAGGCTCCCAGCGGGGAGCCTGATGCAGGACTCCATCCCAGGCCCTGGGGACCACGACCTGAACCAAAGGCAGATGCTCAACTACTGAGCCCCCCAGGTGCCCCCAAACCCACTGTTTTAAATAGTAAGATTCCATAGTGAAATTATAAAGGTGTCTTAATTCAGCAGAATTTGAACTGGATTTCAGTATTTCAAGGGCATAGCTGCAGACCACCCATAAGCAGGAGGGATACACAGAAAGCTTACTGCCCAGTGGCTTTCTGCATACATCAACAAACAATAAGTCCAAAGTAATCATTACTCGTGACAGGGAAAATGTTTTCTTTTTGATAATATTAACTAAGAATATGTATATCTATCTATCATCATAGATGTCAATCAAATCTACAATTTTGAAAATTAATACAGTTATAATAGCAAAAAGTGCTACAGTACTTACTATTACCTGGTACTATCTTAAGCAGTTTGCAAACTCCAACTCATTTAGTCTTTATAATAACCCTATATGGTAGAAGCTATTTTTATTCCTGTTACATCCAATGAGAAAATCAAGGCAGAGAAAGAAACTAATTAAGTATATATGATGGCTAAGTGAATTTAAATTTTTTTAAAAAAGGAAAAGAAACAAATTCATTAAGTAGCAGAGGTGAGATCTGAACTCAGACCCTCTGACTGTGAGTTTATACTTAAACATGACATTTTGCTGCCTCTCTAGATCAAAACTGAGCGCCACTGACAAATCATTGTCGAATTCTGTTCCCTATCATTATCAATTATGATCAAACAAATCAGATTTATATTGCATGCTACATTATTTTTCATATTACTTGCACATATCTTTTATTCTTCACTGAACTTAGTAGAAAACCATGAGCCATAACATCAGCTCCATAGCACCCAGGATATCAGATACTGGATGGAGAAATGATCCATTAAAGAGGGATTTAAAAAGAAGACATATTTCATTCTCCTTTTCAAGAATTAAAAAAATTTTTTCCTTTTCAAAAATTCTTGTTTCTGATATAAAATATGAACATATCCCGTGTTTATTGGGATGTTAAGGCATTAAAATCTGTGAGGTTTAAAAGTCTTTTCCTGTGTGAACAATCCCTCCTCAATTCACTTTGGAGGTTAACCTTTAATTTTTTTTTGTCCTTTTTCACTGCCAGTGTTCTTATAAGATGGGAGTCACATGTAATAACCACTCTCAAGAGTATCACTTATTAATAAAGAGATTTATGCAGTGAAATGGAAGATAGCTTACTGCCACGAAGTGGCACAGACAGGACTGTCCAAAGGCAGGCCCCATGGGTAAGGGTGGGTATGGGGTTGTAGGGGCGCAGGAGAGGCTGGAGAGTCAGCTTCTGACTTCCCCCAAATTATCTTTGTTTACTTCCCAACACACTGAGGGCAGGCTGGGAGTACCCACGGACAGGCAGTAGAGTACAGCTGACTTTTGAGTCGGACTGCATTTGGATCCCAGCCGTGTCACTTATTTGTTATCTGACTCCGAGCAACTTTCTTAACTTCTCCAAGCCTGGAGGATTTAATAAGAGAATGCATGAAAGCAGCATTCCACCACAGAGTAAGAGCCCCCCAGCATAACATGTAGCTATTTTTTTCCCCTTCTAAGAGCCAGCCTCTGGCAATGAACTTTTGAATCTTGTTCTTGAAGCGTTGACACTTTAAAGGCACAGACCACACACCACCATGATAGGTTAGTGGTTTGTTTAAAAATATTCAACAATTTTAGATACTATATGTTCGGTTCTAGTTTGAGCAGGTTCAGCAGCTATATTCAGTAGCTGAATATATACTTAACCATGAAGCAAAAGAACATTGGTACTGAGATCTGGTTCAGGGTTTAGCAGAGTAATGCGGTGTGTTTCTGTTTGAGATTCACAATTCCACTTGGTTCCGTCTGCATGAATGCAAGGCCCTCCTACCAGACCCCACCACTGCCCACCTAAGTTTCCTCAAACATTTTTAAAACTAAATCATCCATTTATTCAAAATCCTTCTATGGCTCCCTATTACCCTCCGGAAAGAGGGTCCGGAATTTCCTCAGTCTGCTGTAATCCAACTCCAAAATGGTATCCACGTTCCAGCTAGGCTGGAATCATCAGAAACCCCAAAACTGGCCATGCTGGGTACTTCTTCCACACCTAGGCTCAGATTTCTCTCCCTGCATGGAAGGCACTGCCTTTTGTTCTCTGCCTCTCCTAAACCTCTCCTGCTGCTCGAAGCTTCCATACCCATCCCTCTAGTGTCTTCTTCAAGGAATCCAGTGCCCATTCATTGGCTTTTTCCCGGGGCTCCCACAGCCTCAGACAGTCTGTTCCTCTTAGTTTGGCCCTTTGCAGCTGTCAATCACTCAGTCATTTAACCCGATGTTTAGCGAGAGCCCACTCAGTGCTGAGTACCGTGCTGGGTGCTGAGGCTATAAGCAAGGTGGACATAACGTCTGACCTCAACTGTAACCTCTTGAGGGTGAGGGTCACCTCTTACATTTCTTTTGTGTCTCCCTCACCGCCTAGCACAGTGGAAGAAACATTATAAGTCATCAATAAGTACCTGGTGAATGGATAACTGAGTTCAAAGGCGGATTGTGGCATTGATCATGAGATTGATTACCCAATATGGGCTTTCACTCTCTCGCTCTCAACTTGCTGGGTTTGCCTGGAGAAATGGATACCCTCTCTGTGTTTCAGTCCCCATTTAACAAAGCAGGAGGCGACAGATCTTGGATGAGACACAAGGCCATCGTCCTGCTCATCCCCCATAGGGGCCTGAACCATGGGAATCTGTGTATGGGTCGAAGCTATCATTCCCACACACCCCTCCCCCCCAGTAAAATGAGTTCCTTAAGGGTACCATTATGCTTTCTCCATACCTATTCTTCTCGAACAGTCCCTGGCACACATTTTTGGAGCTCCATAAAAGTTTGTTAAAGGGAAGAATGACTGAAAGTAAGCTACCTTCTACCAGTTGAAGCAGTCCGCAAACCACCCCATATCCTTCCATTTCCTTGAGGAGACCCACTGGAAGCCGGGGATATTGACTTGACCTCTCCAGAGCTGAGTGAAGTACTCTGAGAGGCAGTTGCCAAGGAGCTGTGTCCTAGAGAAAGCCACCGTCCTGCACAAGGGTAAATGGAAGAATCTATGTTTGGTATTAAAACCTCACTGCCTTGACGTCAAAGAAAGTCTGTGGGTTTGAGGGGACAGTAGGAACTCTGTTTCCATAGCACTGTACAAATGACTGCCTGATGTTTTTCTTCCCACTTTTTTTTCTCTTGGCCTCCTTTCCAGGAAATGGACTGGAGGAGCTGGCAATTGATTAAAAATAGGTTTCGTGTGAGGAAAACAAATACACGCTCGGCAAAATTAAAGTCCCCGCATCTCTCAGAGTGCTTGTTGCTAGCTATATTTAGGCCTGGAGTTCAGGTCTCTTTGGTGCTGACTGGAAAAAGCCTCGGGTCAAGGGAAAGCTTTTCCCTCTATTGTAGGATTATTGCCAATTAGTCTCAGGGCCTTGGTTTAGGACCCCAGTGGGGCTGTTCCCTGATGGAAAGTTCAGTGACTCTTTCCCAGTGGCTTTGCCTTTGGCAACTTAGCACTACAGGCGGGGCCTCAACTGATCCCCAGGGCTGGTCTCGGAGCATCAGGTAGGTGAAAACCATTGCCGAGCTTGAAAGATCTTTAGGGACAATGTCCCCGTGACCCCTCTTAGTTGCCTAGTGCAATATTTTATCTTCGTGGTAAAAAAAGGCGTCCTTCCTCTTGGGACTTGCCAACAAATATAGCTCCTGTTTCATTAGGTCTTTCCCCATGCCCGGTCCTGTGCCTGGGCCTGGGGCTGTGGATAAGACAGAGTCATGTTCCCTGCCTCTAGGGAGCCCAGAGTTTAGCACCACTCCTCATACAATTCCTTTAGAGCTTTGAAGACCATACTGGCCTAACTTGCTTGAAGAAAGTAAGAAAGTCAGTTACGATCAAGTTCAGATTGACAGGAAGATAAGCTGGGCTCGAGTCTCCACTTTGGGAAAAGAAATTCACCTAAGGACTCAGCTAAATGGAATTTAAAGTAGAATTACTGTATTCAAACCTCTTCCAGAAACACACCAAATTGCAGAGAGAAAGGTGTGTCTGCAAGGAATCACTTCGCAGCCCTCCCGGCACGGGCCTCCCCTCTTCTCCATCTCTGGCCAGGCTGGTGCTGGCCAGCTCCCAGACCCCCCTCCCCACCAGGCCAGGATGTGGGAAAAGAGGGAGAGCAGGCCAGAGGAGGGCGGGGAGAGCAGTGAGCGGGTGAGGGAGGGCGGAGTGGTGGGAAGGAAGGAGAAGGACAGAGGCAGGGAAGGCAGGGGAAGGGGAGGCAAAAGCAAAGATAGCAAAATAACCGGATTCCCCTAGGACCTATTTTACATTCCTTTGATCATTTTTGGAAGGATGAGCTCAGGAAGTACAATTATAGCCAGCTCTCCATCACCGCTGCTAAGGAGGGAAGTCCTTTACAAGTGTTAGTTATTATTACAACATGAATAATTGAACCTCCCAGATCATCCCCAAACCTCATTTGAGGCTTTAAATTTCTCTTCCACCGCCGCCAAACCTTTTAACAAAATGAGGCTGGTGCTAGGGAAGAAGGTAAAGGGCTGGTGCAAGTCCCCCCACCTCTCCTCCCTGCCTCCAGTCTGGTGGATCTTGATCCTCAAACCAGAGAAACGGCCCCCCCAATACCAAGAGTAGGGGGTGGGAGTGAGGACCCTTCTGGATCGAGTTCCATCCAGGCCCACTCTGCCAACAACTTCTTCTCTCCCTCATTCCTTCTCCAGGCTCTCAGTGCCCTCATCTTCCATGCTATACAATTCAGTGGCTTATGGGGTCAAATCCAAATTGCTTACAGGGTCAAGTACAAAGTCATTCCTGTGGCCTGTGAGCCTTCCATGATCTGGCCCCTGACTACAGCTCAGCCCTCGCCTCCTACCCCCTGTAGAACTGCCTCCACCTCACAACAGCTGGGAATATCCTTCCCACCTCTACCTCCCTTTTGGTTTGTTTCCTAAATCCCTATTTACCCTTTATTTATTTTTTTTATTTTTTTCCTATTTACCCTTTAAATTTCACCTCCCACATCACCTCCTCCTTGACACTGTTCCCCCAGCAACTCTGACCTTCAGTCACTTGGGTAGCCGGGGTGCCCAGTATATCCATTGATCCCCACTGTACTTCTCACTCTCTGTCATATGTAATCAATTGTTCACATGTCTGTCTTGCCTACAAGTCTGTGAGCTCCTCAGCGGTAGACCCTATATTCCTACCACCTAAATATGTTTTAAAAGAAAGAATAAGTGATGTTTTCACAATTAGAAGGCAGAGAGCCAGAGTGGTTTTGACACGACCAGCACCAACCCTGCTCCTGCTTCAGGGCCTTTGTACTTGCTCTTCCCACGGCTTGAAACACTCTTTCCCCAGATAACTACTTGGGTTGCCTTCTGGCTTCGTTCAGGTCTCTGCACAAATGTTACCTCCTCAAACAGACCTTCCCTGGCTACTGTCTCACATAACGTGCACATTCCTCACCTTGTCACTATCTATCTACAAGTCCTGGCTCATTTTTTCCTCAGACCTCTGATCAACACTTGGCATATTATATATTCATGTGCAATCGACTGTTTTCCCTAATAAAATATAAGCTTCATGAGGCCAAAGACTTATTTTGTTTGCTGCTGACAGCAGTGTCCAGAACAGGGCCAGGCCCAGAAGAAGTGCTCAGTAACTATTTGTTGAGTGTTGTTGAACTTGGCCTTAAATCGAACTGGGTTTGGACCCTACCTCTACCATTTCAAGTTCCGTGTGACCTTGGGCCAAGTGTCTGTTTCCTCTGAGCCTCATTCTCAACATCTGTGAAATGGAGATAACCCTACGTACATCAGAGGTACGAAGTCAAGGAGATCCAATATCCCCAAGCACTTACTTAGCACGGCGCCCGGCACAGAGAAAGCATGTCATGCTTATTAGCTGAAATCTGTTGACAGACCAATGTGTTGCATTTCTCTGATCCCTACCGTGTGCCCTCGTGCTCCGCCCTCCCGGTGCCCACTGAGGGGTCAGAGCCTGGGTGCTCGGCACGTACTTGCCACAGTTGTAGAGGTCACAGCAGAAGCAGGTGTTGCCCCGGATGCGAGGCGTGCAGAATCCAGGGCTGAGGTGAGGGCAGTTCACCTGAGGGCACAGAACAGTGAGGAGATGGGCTGGCAGTGGATGGGAGGCAGGACCCTCTGGGACTGGAAATATGAGTTCGTGACTGATGGAGACGGTGAGGACGGTAAGGACGGCTGTCCGATGAACACAGCAAGGCGGGAAAGGGATGGGGCCAGGCCCTGGGCTGGCTGAACTTGTGCCTGAGACGAGGTACCGTGGAGCCGGGGTCCGTCCAGCCTCGGCCACAGCCCTCGGTGCCCCATCCCTGAAGGGCGGGGATGCAGAGGCAGAAGGATGGATGGAGGACAGACGGAAGAATGAATGACAGTAGGAAAGGAGGACAGGAGGACAGGTGGGGGAGGGGATTCAGGGGGTGGGGGAGAATCAGAGGGGGAGGAAGACAGAGGGGCCGTCACATGCACTCTGAAGTACGATAGTACCTCTCTAGCTGCCTGGGTAAGGTTCCTCATAACCCTCGCGGAAGGAGAATTTTTGGTTGAGGAACTTATGACCTTTTATAGGAAAAATAGGGTTAGGGGGACCAGGGTTACAAGTGAACCTATGGAAGTCATTATTAATATTTTTACAGTCACCAAGTTAACACAAGAAAGCTATCACCACGAAATCAAGAGAACAGCAATGACATTTTACACATCTAGAGTTTGCAAACAATTGAGACCATCGATTTTTCCATTTACCTGTCTTTTACATTTAAGAACTTTTCCAGACTTTCTTCCTCATGTGGATGCAATGAAGTGCTTGTGAATGTGTTTCACTGTGTTCTAGACAATTCATAGCAAATGGGCACTATCTTTCTGATAAGCTGTTCGCACACGCACCTTCCTACTCCTCCTTTCAGAACCGAGTATAATTAGAAAAACAGTAAATTTGCGGTCGAGGGGAAGGGGGGGCAGGTGACAGGCAGAGCCGTAATAGAAGTATCCGCCCTGGTGCCTTGGGAGCAGGGCCATCACTTTGCCGAACTCCAGGGGCACCATTCTCATTGTATTTTATGTCAAATGGTAGTTTCATATTCAAGGGGTCTCTGGGTTAGGGTGCAGACAGTGGGTTGAGTTGCTTTCTGAAAATGACCCAGAGCCATGCTTCACCTCATTGCCCATGCCTGTAGTTCCGTGTGAGGTGGCACAGAACGCAAGGACAGCTGTGTGGGGCGAGAGAGACAAATTGTCATGCTTCCGCAACCTGGCCTATTGGGGGCATCATGAGAGGGGCCAGGCCGACAGTCCAGGCCTCCCCAGAGCCTTAAAGTGGACCAGGTTTCTCAATTACCCTCATGTGGCTTCCTAACTCCTCTTGTGGACCGAGGTAGGGGGGAGACCCAGACTCTGCCTCCCTAGTCCAAGCCCAGTGCTTTGCTGGGGTTCCTGCTTTTCTTCCAGCTGGGCACCGAGTCCAGGCAACGAAACCATCATCTGCAGGGCTGGAGGAGGGGCCTGCCCTGTGACCTCTGTGCTCATCTGTCCCCCTTGGGATCGAAACCACACACTGTGAGGCTGCCTGCTGGGGTCAGAGGGGCAGCCTGTGGCCACAGAGCAAAGTAAATCTGATTAGGTCTCATGAGGCGCCAACCTATGACCATGGCCTCATTAGCACTTGTGCTCTGACCCACTGAACAAATCAACTCCAGACACCTAGCAGCAAGCCTTAGGCCCATGAAAAGGAATAAAAGAAAGGGGGTTTCAGGCAGAACAGAAGACTTTCCCAAAAGGTAAGGCACACAGCCTCACCCAGCTCACCTCCTCAGCTTCCTTCTGGGATGTCTTGGGGACGTAGTGGCACCGGTTAGCATAGAGAGGTTTCAGATCCTGGAAAGGGAAACAGCAAACCAAAGGAGTTTGGGTTTTGGAAAACAAAGCAGCAAGTACTCTGATGGGTAATAAAAGATTTGAAAACACACACATGCACACACGCACACACATGTGCACGTGTGCACACGCAAACATGAGCAGGCAGTGGGTTGGGTTAATTTCTGAAAACTGCCCATCTATGGAGCCTGAGAATCTGAGGATTAGATACAAATGTCCTCACAGCTGCTTTCTACTGGGCCACTTGGTTAATGAGAAATTAGGAAATTGTTTGAGAAATGGGCTTCTTGACATTTCCTCTCTGCTTTCATTTCTAGTCTTCATCTTCCTCCCAAGAGGCCCCAGGGAACAAGATGCAGAACTCTTGCAACATAGTCCCAGAAGGAGGGAGCCCAGATCCAACAACGAGGTCTCGTTATCACCTGAGGACAGGACTCGGGCTGGCTGACATGTGCTCCCTTCTGTCACTGCCACAACTTTTCCAGAAGAAAGAGCTCAGGAAGCCAGCCCCAGGGGGATGAACAGCGACTGAGCCTGTTGTAGATTTTAACTCAGCTGAACTATATTTCACTCAGCTTACACAGATTAGATAAGGACCATGAACTCCAAAAATACTGCTAAAACACAGAAAACTAACATGGAGTTCAAGGACAGTTGACTTACCCTCCTGGCTTGGCAGCTTCCTGGTGAGGGAGCTCTCAGGCATGGGGTTTAGGGTAGAACAGACACAATCCAGGGCTGCCCAGACACTTGCAGTCAGGGGATGTTGTTCCCTTTTGGGGTGATGCCAAACATCCCTTGAGTGGTAAGGGACTTTGGCCAAAAGCAGGTGAGGATGGGACAAGCAGTCTGCGGCCAAAGCCCCCTTCCTCCTGCCTCCACTTTTCTCACCATTTGCAATAATCCCAGTGGCTGCCGTTCCCCACACATGATTTAACATCTCCCGTTCCTGGCACCTGAGTGCCTCCAGCCTCCCAGCCTGCAGCCCCGTCAAGGACCGAGGACTTTCCATCAGCTGCTCCTACATGAACCTCCTGTCTGTACGATGCTCTGAAAGTACATTGCCCTGTTGGCCGAGGCTGGAGTCTGGCAGGAAAGGAATGAAGGTTCTCGTGTTTGTTCACAGCAGGGTTTATTTTCCGTGTTTGGGGACTAGCAGAGGCCCTCACTGTCCTGTGGAAGGGGAGGCTTGATGTGCTGCTCGCATCCCTCCCAAGCTCCCGCTTCTGCAAAAAGCAATCAGCCTCCAACAGCCCAAACGAAGACAGACATGTTCACACGTGGGGGCTGCCCGTGTGCTGCCTCTGGCTGCTATTCTGCATTGAGACCCCCGAGGAGGAACAAGCCCTAAGCCCTGGCAGTTGGGAGGTGGGAAAAAGTCACTCAGCTCCGGTTCGGCAACCTTTTTAATCTGGAAGGGAGACCAACTCTGGAGCAAAGAGTTGGAAATGAAAACTGCTTTATGGCAAGCATGTACTCTGTGCCCAGCCCCTTTAGGGCAGTTGCCACCCATTATCTCATACAGGCCGCAGACTAAGCCTGGGAGGCAGGGCATTGTGCCATCCAGCTGAGGAGGAGGCAACGGTGACACAGGAAGGTAAAGTGACTTTCCCAGCTGGCTGGTGGCCACGTCAGGGGAAGGGCAAGGGAAGGGAAGAAGAGACAAGAGAGAGAAGGAATGAGACACATTTGGAGGGATGTGTAAGAAGGGTAGATCTTGAGAGGAAGCTCACATGCCCCCAGGCAAAAGGTCAGGGCAAGATGGTTCAGAAGAGCTCCAACAACAGAAAAGGCTGGCTTTAGGGGCACCTGGCTGGCTCAGCAGGTAGAGCGTGAGACTCTTGATCTCAGGGTTGTGAGTTCAAGCCCCCACGTTGGATATGGAGATTACGTAAAAGAAAAACTTTTAAAAAAAAAATATATATATATATATATATATACATATACATATATATAATTTATAAAAAAGAACAAGAGAAAGAGAAAAGGCTGGCTTTAGCTCACCAAAGTGGTGCTAGGGCCCCAAAATGCCTTTCATTAGACAGGCCAACAGAGATGGCCATACCTTAATAAAGCCTTCTTCCTCAAAACACTCTGGGTGTTAGTGAGGACTGGCAGATGTCATTGGATAGGCACAGGGTAAGCAGAAAGGTTTTTCTTAAAGATTCATCCAGCGTGACTCTAAGTCCCTGAATCAAATGCTCTACTGCAGGCCACTAACTGTAGGAAGTACAAAGGTCTGGAGGCAGAGACAGGTAGGTGATCATTACAGGACACTCCCAGTAAATATAACTGGATTTTTCCCCATTGCCTCTGGCTGAGGCCAGTGTTCAAAGACATGAGGAGTATCAAGGAAATGCGAATCAAAACCACAATGAGGTACCACTTCATTCTCACTCGGATGGCTAGAATTAAAAAGTAAAATAATAAGAATTGGAGAGGATGCACTGAAATTGGAACTCTTATACATACACTTCTGGTGGGAATGCAAAATGGTGCGCCTATTTTGGAAAAGTCTGGTAGGTCCTCAAAAAGGGTAAACATTAAAGAAAAGCGTAAACGTAGTTACCCTATGACCCAGCAATTCCACTTCTAGGTATACACCCCAGGAAAATGAAAACATGCAGCCACATGATACATGAATGTTCACAGCAGCATTATTAATAAAAGCCACAAGTTGAAAACAAGCCAAACGTCCATCACCCGGTGAATGGACAACCAAAATCTGGTCTATCCATATGATGGAATATTCAGGCCATAAAAAGAAATTAAGTGCTGTTACATGTTACAGCATGGATGAGCCCTGAGAAAAGAAGTCAAGTCGCAGAAGACTATAATGTTATATGATTCAGTTAATGTGAAATGTTAATTAATACAGGGAAATCTGTAGAGAAAGAAAAGTAGCCTAGCGGTTGCTTAGGGCTGAGGGGAATGGGATATAGGGAGGTGAGAGTCCAGAATATGGGGTTTCTTTTGGGGGATGATGAAAATCTAAAATTGATGTGGTGATGGTTTGCATGTAACAGTGAAGATACCAAAACCCGCTGAATTGTTCACTTTAAGTGGGCAAAAATGTTATGGGATGTGAACTACATGTCAATGAAGCTGTTTTTTAAAAAATACACATTAGGAGTGGGAGGAGGAGGGCAAAGGAGGAAGCCATTTTAGCTCATGATGCCATCAAAATCTACTGCAGGCTTCTTGGCCACTAGGCCTCTGTTACCATGGAGACTGCCTCAGAGTGAATACTCCTTGTCAAATGGGGATTATAATGCCTGCCCTACATATCTCACAGGATTGCTGGGGACCTCGAAAGAGATAATAGATGGGAAGGCACACTGAAAAGCTAAATGCGCTACATAAAAACAAGGCATTATTGTTATTAAGATGGCTCCTGTTGAATACAAAATAGCACGCATGCTATGATTGGCTGTAACCACACTACACAAATAGGTGTGTACTCGGAGAGTAATATGCAGAAATGCTCAGATTTGCTATGCTAGGGTGGTAGGCTTATGGATGTCACAAATTCCCGATGTGTCATTGGCCTTTTTAAGAAGAAAAAGATGAAGGAGATGGCTGGCCTCGGCTAAAATCAGAAGGGATGGCTCTGACATCAGGGCCTACATTTAAATTCTTGGCCCTGAAAAGAAAATTGGGCAAAGAGCCTCTCTCTCCCTCCCCTGACTCTGCCCCCTGCCCAGAAATGATCTCCTGAGACACAAAGTCAGAGACTTCTGGTGGGGCAGCACTGACCACATGAGTTCTTCTCATGGCAAATGAGGGACTGACTCTTATGCCCGAGAGGGGGGTCCAAGAGGTAGCTGGAATTGAAATAATGATGATACAGATCCTCCTTCTGCAGATCCAATCATACTCATGCCATTCCCTCAGGATGACTTGCACTATTAGCCAATGTCATTGATCTGCAGAAAATTCTGATGATACAATTTTGCTCCAAATCAACTGTTTTGGAAAACAAAACATTTCCAGTTAGCTCATGAGATGTTTTCATTTTCCTTGCTGATTCAGTACGAATAAAAGGAGTACTTGTGTTTATTGTAGGGGCCCAGTAAGTTGCAGTGACTCACTTTGGATTTTGATTTGTGGGCCAGATTAGGGCTATGTTATGACCTCCCTGGGACCTAGGCACTTTTGCTTTTGTGGGTCTCTCTCTGAATTAAAAAAAATGAAAATTATATTTTCTTTATCTTAATTATATTCAATGACTGCATTGGTCTAAAGAAAAATATATTTATAGGCAAAAACTTTTCCTTGACCTAAAAGCTCATCACTTTTCTACTCATCTGAAAGGAAATGATACTGTTTTTATGAAACCCTGAAAGTCCTATGGGTCATAGGCACTGTGCCTATTGTACCTAATGGAGAAGTCAGCCCTAGCAGAATTGTCTGGAATAGTATGAAATGGAAAAGTGCTAAAAGAAGGGCGAGGGGGGTATCCCTGGGTGGCGCAGCGGTTTAGCTCCTGCCTTTGGCCCAGGGCGCGATCCTGGAGACCCGGGATCGAATCCCACATCGGGCTCCCGGTGCATGGAGCCTGCCCCCCCCCTCTCTATCATAAATAAATTAAAAAATTAAAAAATAATAAAAAATAAAATAAATAAATAAGTAAAAGAAGGGCGAGGGCTCCCGTAGAGAGCCACGTGGGAATGCCCGGAATCCTAGGCTTTCTCAGAGCAGAGCACAAGTTTGGGTTTCAGGAGTAAAATGGCCTTTCTCAAGGTGCAGCTTTGCAGATTTGGCACCTAAACTCCAGGACTGGGCTCTGAGTGGAAGTTTCTAGCACTAGGGTTTTCTCTGGATCCCAATGACATCACTAAACGCCAACTCCTGCTATAGGGACAGAAAAGTTCAGGAATCTGAGAAAAGGTGATTCCGTCCTCATGGTCTGTTCTTGTTGCTGTTGAAACTCCCAAGGCTCCCAGAACTCATCCACTTTCCTGCTCCTCCCTACCTCCTCGCTCTCAACGTCACTTCCGTTCCCCTGGCCCCAGTGCCCTTGCCTCTGCCTTTCCAAATCTCACTCAGATGTCAAAGGCTCAGTGCTCGCCACCACCGGGAAGCCTGCCCTGGCCACTGGAGTCCAAGATAAAGCACTTTGACACTTTTAAGAGTTTACACCCGCAGGCATCTCTAGATGACTGTGTGTCTAGCGGTATCCTTGTCTTGACTATCAGCAGCTTGAGACAGGGATCCTGTTTTCTCCCTCTTCTGTCCCCATTGCAGCGCTTAGCACACATCCTGGCACACACTCAATGAAACCTTGCTGTGTTGCACATTCTCTTTAATCCAGGGCTGAAAGTACTCACAATGTGTCTGGCAGCAAAGACCCCGTCGACTATGGCACAACAAAAGGCTGCAATCACACCAAAGCTGATAAAGACGATAGAGGCCACCAGCTGCAGGGGTGAGGGGTGAGGGGGACAGAACAAAAGTGTTAGCCTTCCACTCTTGCTGTTCCCGGAGACTAGATGATCCCCAAGAGAATGCCCACCAAAGCCCAACTCTGGCCTGCCACTCAATGGGGTGCTTTTTTTCAATCATGCAGGATGAGAGCAGCCCTGGGTGGCTCAGCGGTTTAGCACTGCCTTCAGCCCAGGGCCTGATCCTGGAGACCCGGGATCGAGTCCCACGTCGGGCTCCCTGCATGGAGCCGGCTTCTCCCTTTGCCTGTGTCTCTGCCTCTGTGTGTGTGTGTCTCATGAGTAAATAAATAAAAATCTTTAAAAAAATTTTTTTAAATCATGCAGGATGAGTGGGAGCTGGGGGAAGCAGGAAAGAGGCCACTGAAGGCATTTTTTTTCCATTTTCAGGGCAAGCCAAGAAATTCACTCAGTGAGTCTGTGAGCACCAAATCGAGGGGAGGCTTGCTGATAACGAGCATACTGTCGGTGAAGGAATTTGACTTGTGTGGCTCCTCCATTCTCAGAAAGATGTTGGACCTTTGATATCATGTAGCCCAACCCCCTACTTTATTTATTGTGGGAGTGGAGGCTCAAAGAGGGGAAATTGGTGTGCCCAGGGTCACCATCCAGTCTACAGAAGAGCCTGGTGCCCACCATCTCCCAGTCCAGTGTTGTTCTCAGTCCCTCACAGTGGGCAGTGATGAAGACAGGGATGATTCAGAGGTCCCACACAACCCTACGTGGCCTTCTGCATGGTTGCAGAAAGAACATTCAATCTATTAAGATTTAAATATCAAAAACATTTCACAAGGCCATGGAAGCCTCTGGAACTGATCAGCGCTGTGTAGTACATACAAAAATTTTTAAGTCAGAAAAATGTTTGCTTGAACCAGACTGCCCTATACTCTGATCATGTTGAATAATACATTTTCCTCATAATTTGTCTTCCATTACAAAGGTGATGCTACAAGCCAGTGTGGGGGAAGGTGCTCGCAGGGGCAGGGGCAGGTGCTGCCTAAGCAAGCCCACCATCTGCCCCAGGGTCAACCCTCAGAACTAGACGGAATCAGTCCTTTTGTTCCTTGAGATGTCTGGGGTAAAGAGCATGGCATCAAGCTGCTCTCCAGGGCCAAATCAAATCCAATTCAAGGCCACCCTAAGGTTCTCCTTCAGCAGGCTAGGAGGAAATATTTCTCTCCTTCAGGAGTTGTTCAGAAGCCTCTCCCCATAAATCTCACTTCACAGCACTACAGAGAATTGGTAAATAATGGATGAACGATGTCATGAAATTGGCATTATTAGCTATGCTTTGATCAGCTCTACAATCAAAACTCCCCCATTATTTTGAATAATGTAAGCCCAAAGTGCAAACACAACTGGCAGGGGAGGCAGGGAGTCCAGGTGAAATGGAAGAAGAGAACTCTGAGCGCTCCCCTGAGGGTGATTCCCCACATTGCTGGGGGAGAACATATGGTTAGAGTTCTCTGTCCCTGGAGCTATTACGTTATCTGATTAAACTTGCTGTTAAATAGGCCCCATTATCAAAGTCTAGATGCCACAGAGGCTTGTACTGGGGGAGCCTAATCAGTCCACCATCTGACCACTTACCAGGCATCTTGATTTACAAGCCTCTAAAGCTGCAATGTGCTTGCAATTCTGTAGGTACCAGGAAATCCAGCAGCTTGCCCTCGTGGGACCCCCATTAGGACACAGAACTTTCTAAGTTTTACCTCGAGTTATACGCTCATTCTTCCTTCGAAACTTACAACACACTTAGCTTTGAACTCTGGGTAATGGAAATGCTTTAGGTTGGCCTCATCATTTTATTTTGTCTTCCGCGGGCCCCAAGTGTATTTGTTCTCTTCATCGAAGTCTCTTAGATTGTAATATCCTAAAAGGCAGGAACCCTCTGCAAAAACCTCAGAGAGGGAGGAGGAAAGCAAAGGGCAAGATCCAGAATATTCTATCCCTTTGACTTAAGGACACTAACTAGGGTGCTGGGGGAGCATCAGGCAAGATGGGAACAAGTCCCATACCACAGGTTCACTTCAGAACAAGTTCCCTAGAGCCCGAGGAGAAAAGGCAAAGGAGCAGTTTCTTTTATGGCTCTGATCTGGGAAACCTTGAGAAGTGTGTTACTTATCCATATAAATACTGAGCTCTGTCAGAGGAAGAGTGTGATTCTATAGTGATGCAAACTTACCATCTGCCGTTTGTTTTCAACGAGGTTTGATCCGATGATTCCAAGGAATGATCCAAAGCCGAGCTGCAAAACATGGCAAACATAGCATGTGGGAAGGTGATCAGCCTGACTATGCAATCATTCCAGCTCCTGGATACGATTCAGGACAAGCAAAAAGACCTGGGGATACAGATGCTAAAGCCACATGCAGTTGTTACACAGGTATGACCTGTTCAATAAAAGTATTTCTCCCACCATTTGTCAATTTTTCCTTGCAGAAATGAGTCAGACTTAAAAAGAAACTCATATGCCCAAAAACTAAAAGTAAAGGTCAACCAGAGCTTTGCAGAGCCTGCCTATTTCAATGTCAATATCCATTACCTAGCGCATGACTGGTGAGTCAGTAAGAGGCATATAACGGTGAAAAGCACGCATTATATTCTGATCTTTATCTTTTTTTGGTTTTTTTTGAAAGGAGACCATCTACTCTCTGGTACGTGGATTACAAAGTAAAAATTTGAAATAGCAATTTCTGATGCATCCAGCACACTAATCAAACCCAGGAAGTACTTTAGAAATCAGCAAGCACCTTAACCTAGACTTACAAAAAAAAAACCCTATTTTTTGAAAGCCTGTATTTGTGGCTGACCCACTGCAATTTACGTTAGCACTTGTTCACCTCTTCTTCCATCTCTGCTTCATTTATGGACAGAAAGCATTCATTAGAGGGTGAAGAGAAATGGCCGTGTAAAACCCTGAAAAAACAATCTCCCTGTCTAAGTGGCTGGGATGATGGCTCGATGTAGCAGGTCCCATTTTCCTCTCACTTCTGCCATTAGTGGACTGAGTGGGCCAGGCTCGTCTGAACACGATCAGTAGCCAACGGCTGTTGGCGGGGGTAAAAATGCAAGAAGTAAAAAGTGGTGAACCCGGACCAATAAATCTTAACACAAGCTCGCTGATATAGTTACATGTCTCTTTGGCCTCACTAATGGGCCAGGTTTCCATCTGCAGCCTTACCTTGGCTAACAGGGGCATCCATTTCCATCTGAGGCCCCCAAGCCTTCCAGCTGAACTTGGAAATCTAATGGACCCGAGGGCCTGGCAGGAATGTGGTAGGGCAGTGGAGGGGCACTGGGTGGTTGGCTCAGAAACCCAAGAAGGAAAGGGAAACGAAGGGAAGGAATGAATGCAAATTTGCAAGGACTCATTCTGCAGGGCCACTTGGCCAGCCACTCCTCTTGGGAAAATAGAAGCTGAAGTGCACAAGGAAGGGTATGTCCCTTGCCCTCCAGGACTCTACTGAGAACATCCTCACTCAGCAGTTAAACTATGCCCATCTCCCGTCTGATCGTATTTTAAATGTAATTGAAATGTGTTGTCATAGAGTGTACTGATTAAAACCTGGTTCTCTCACTAGCCTGGCTTTTTACCCCAGCTTACTTCCACCTCTGTCTGTGGAAGAGCTCTTGAACAGACTGATTGGCCTCTCTAAACCTCAGTTTCCTGATCTGGGAAATGGGGAATCTAGCAGCAGCTATCTCATAGGGCTTTTGCAAGCATAAACCAGGATGGTACATCCAAAGGACTTAGCACAGTGCCTGGCACACAGTAAGTACTCAGTAAATATTACCGTTCTGGGGGTTATTACTATTTTTGAAGACATTTCACTTTTGAGCAGCTCTAACCTAATTTGAGCTGGAAAATCCTATCATTGTTTGCTTGAGTTCATAAGAGGCCTTCATGTTTTCTCTTAGCTTTGCCTCCAATATATTCCAAAGCTTTTATTATTCAGGAAGAATTCTACTTATAGTCTGTGTTTATGGCACCCTAGTACCCTGGACCATTTGGGGAGATGGAGAGAAAGTCGGAGACAGCTTCTGACATGAAACAGAAGTCCTTTGACTGAGCAGTGTATCAGTTTCCACAGATATTCACTTGATGTCTCCTGAACCCCCAAAGCAGTCTTGGCCTTCAGACCAGAAGCGAAGACTTTGGTTATTCCTAGCAGTCTCAAATGACTCCCTGATGGTAATGGCCAGAAGAGGTGGGCTGAAGCCTCATGGAATTGACTGGAAAGACAAGGCACTCGGGACTAGAAGTCCCAGGTTAGCCAGTTACTTCACCCAGTTCCCTCCCTTTCTTTCTATCCCATTCTAATCCAGGCTGATTCATTCGGCTTTCTAATAGTCGCTAAGTACTTGTGTGAGATAATAAGATATGGCCCCTGCCCTCTAGGAGTTTATAGTTCAGTGAAGGAGAGACAAGACTGTGGGTTAAGGACCATAGGCAAGGAAGAAACACAGTGCTATCGGAGAAGAGAATCATTCATTTTGTATTACATCTCTGGTCCCACTACCTGTAAACTGTGTGACCTTGGGCTAGTCCCTCAACCACTCTGTGCTTGTGATTCCCCACCTATAAAATGGGAATCACAACGGTAACTACCACACAGGGCTGCCGTGAGCATGAAATGAGATAAAGTATGCAATGTGACTTCTACTGCGTATTTACCGCCCCCAAAATGAAAACATGAATTCAAAAAGATATCTGCATCCCTATGTTTATTGCAGCATTATTTATAATAGCCCAGGTATGGAGGCAATCTAGGTGTCCGCTGACTGACAACAGTAAGGAAGATGTGGTATATATATGCGATGGAATATTACTCTGTCAGAAAAGGATGAGCTCTTGCCATTTGTGACAGCGTGGATGCACCTAGAGGGTATGAAGCTGGGTCGGATAATTCAGGCTGAGAAAGACAAATACTGTATGGTCTCACTCATATGTAAAATCTGGAAAACAAAACAAATGAATAAACAAACAAAAAGAAGGATCAGACCTATAAACACAGAGAACTGACGGTTGTGTCAGGGGGGCAGTAGCGGGTAGCAAAATGGGTGAAGGGGAGTGGGGGATAGAGTCTTCCAATAATGGAATGAATAAATCATGGGAATAAAATGCACAGCATAGGGAATACAGACAATGGTACTGTAATAGTGTTGTATGGTGACGGATGGTAGCTACACTTGTGGTGGGAAGAGCATAATGTATAGAGGCTGAGTCATTGTGTTGTACACCTGAAGCTAATGTAGCATTGTGTGTCAACTACACTCAGATTTAAAAAAATTTAAATAGAGTATGTGGTGTGACTTGCATAAGGTAGGATGCTAAATAAATGGTAGTTCTAAGATTTCACATAGAAGGAGACATTTTAACATGGGGTCAAAGGCAGGTAGAGTTCATCAGGCAGGCAAGTAATATCTTTTGAGTCATGGCTGAAAGAATTCACTCACCTGGATGACAGGTTGGTGAACTCACTAGTGTTGCTGAAACCATCGTACATTTGAAAAGCATTTTAATTTAAAGAACAAGGGGTGGGCACCAGGGTGGCTCAGTGGTTGAGCGTCTGACTTCGGCTCAGGTCGTGGTCCCGGGGTCCCGGGATCGAGTCCCACATCGGGCTCCCTGCAGGAGCCTGCTTCTCCCTCTGCCTGTGTCTCTGCCTGTATCTCTGTCTCTAATAAATAAATAAATAAACTTAAAAAAAAAAGAACAAGGGGTAGTGGAAGGGGAGGTGGGCGGGGGGTTGGGGTGACTGGGTGACGGGCACTGACGGGGGCACTTGACGAGATGAGCACTGGGTGTTATGCTATATGTTGGCACGTCAAACTCCAGTAAAAAATATATATACAAAAAAAAAAAGCATGCGCCCTCCATTTTGGTCACAGTAATAGTATGGAGTTTAATGGAGCTGATACCTTTCCATTTGATAGACAGGAAAGTGGTGGCCTCAAGAATTGTATGGAGTCATCCCCACTTAAAGCAAGTTAATGACAGGGACAGGACTAGTTCACAGGTCCCCTGACCAACAGCTGGTGCTCTTTCAGCCACTCTGCTGCATTTGTGGTGTGTTAATGGAATAATGACCTTCATCACTGCGCCTCCCTCTCCAGGAAAGAAGTTCCTGGCAAGGATGGAGTGAGAAGTCCTATTTGAAGAAGAGCTGAGAGGTCGAAAATAAAAAAAAAAAAGGACAAATCAACAGAATTTCCTGAAAGTGGGCAGCTGCTTCTAATCAACTGTTTACTCTCCTGAGGCCTCAGAAAGGTAAGCTCTGTGGTCATCCCTCGAGAACTGCATGGAATCATGGGAAGTGCAGACCTTTGGACCTCCATCTTGATTCCCCATTACCTGAATAAATAACCAATTTACTTTGTTTTGGCTGCCCTCCATCCGTTGAAGAAAAAGTCAAATAGTTAGAAATCCAAGTCAGATTTAAGGGCTCTTTTTGGCCTGGGCTCTGTAACTTCTGCCGATTCCCATTCACTGCTGCAGACGCCCAGCTGACGTTCAGATGGATTCGTCATTCAATACATGTTAGTTGGACATCTAGTCTGCAGCAGGCGCTGTGCTAGATCTGAGATTTGGAGGCCAGAGGTTGGGGGTGGGGTATGATACCACGACCAATGAGACTCAAGGAGCTATAATTAGGTAAACTGGTCCACAATTCGTTCCCATAATCCTGAAATACACAAAGCTGTTTTTGTTTTTTTTCTTTGTACCTAACTTGGTGGCAAAACCTTGAACTGATGTGAGATTATTTTATAATCTTTATCCTCTTAGTATAAAAATTCAGTTTATTAGAGAAATATAAGGGGCTGATGATGGGGTTTTTCTCAAGACCCCACTGGGATGTTAGATAATATAAGATATGCACTGTATTATCTTTCCAAAATAGAAAAAAAAGTCTAAACTCACAAACACATCTGATCCAAAGATTCAGATAAGGGATGGTGGACCTGCATAAACAAAGCCAAAGAATATGGCCCAACAGATGCCACAAAGGAGGATGTAAGTATTTTCCAGGAACCATGAGTAAGAGAAGTCTATGGTAGACCCCACTTGTGGAACCCCGCAGTTGAAAAACATCCCAGCCGTGTCTTTAAGTTGAGATAGAACAGAGCATTTGGATCAACACAGAGAGAGAGAGAGAGCAGGGATGACATTCCAGACCAGGGTGAACAATGAAAGTCAGAGCAGCAAGGCAGGAAACCCCAAGGTGTGTTCAGGGCTAGGAACTGACAATTTTGGCAAAAAAGGAGGAATGGGAGACCTAACCAAGGGCATCTTCAGAGATCCCCCGGAGTGACAAAGCTAAGGAGGCAACAGGGAGCCAATGAAAGTTAGAACTTTATGGCACGAGAAGTCTTATTTAGCAAACCTGGATTCGATTCTCATCCTTGAAATGTATTTCCGAAGGTAAGAACTGTATTTTATTTTATTTTTTTAGAACTTTATTTTAGAATGATCTTACATTTTAGAAAGATTTTCAACAAGGGGTGAACAAAATTTCTGCCTAATTCACAATAAACCACAAAATTCTACTATCCAGAGCTCCGTCTGTTTCCTTAGCAGTCAATTCTTTAATGTAAACTTGTTGGGTTTATCAAGAGTCTTCACATGTGAAGCGGAAGCCACACTTGCCTAAAGAAAATTTCTGTGCTATTGCCTCAAACGATTCCTGTTGTCTCAGTCTCCTACCATCCCACGGAGGTACTCTGATATAGTTTTTCCATTAACTCACATACACACCCCCACCTCAGAGATGGGGCTGAAACTCTTTTTTTTTTTTTCCCTGAAAGAAAATCCAGGCTAGTATGGGCCTTAGCTGGAGAGAAGGTGTGAGAATGAAAGGATTTCCATGCTGATCAGGTGGCCAACCCCATCTTGTGGGTTGCTGGGGAAACACATTTAAAGGCCTCATTCTTCTGGATCTAAGGTTAAAGTGTTTACTGGGGAGGAGCAGGCTCGGTCTCCTGCCCTTTATACAACAACCGAGCCTCTTGTTTTTTAGGCCTCCTGTGCAGAAAGCTCACCAAAAACTCTTCTGTAAAAATCCCCAGCCAGGTTGTCTTTCTTTATTGGTTTTCATTTTTTAAAAATTGCACAGTTCAGCTTTTACGGATGACCACATCTTTAAAGATGCATGTGTGCTTATGTGTCTTAGAATGGTGGTACCACATTCCAGCTCGGATAGAGTAGCTTATGCTCTATTATAATGCACCTCACCATACAAGGGCATCTTGCTTGGCAAAATAAATACGCCCCAGAAAAGTTTCACGCGAGTTTGAGCTGTGCAAATATAATTATATTTTAAAATCCCTGAGATCTCAATATTTAAATGGATTGTATGATAATTCTTTTTTTAATCTAATAACTCCTCCCTAATTTGTCTGTTTTGAAATTTTAAATTCTCACATACTGTTAACATATTTAACCAGCAGAGTTAATGCCCAAACAGCAGAGTTCCAAGTAGCCTGAAGTTTTTCACATTTCTATACAAGGATCATTTATATTCGGAGTGACCAATTTGCCAGTGTGGAATCTGAAAATGCCACCTATGCTCATTGTGGCTTTATCACAGAGCATATTTTATTTATTGGGTTTTAGTTCTCCACGTGGTTGCCGGTTCACCTGAATTCGGTTCCCCTCGGGGTATTTATTAAAATGCAGATTCAATTTGTATTACTTTTTCAATCAAAATTAGTTCATCAAAGGGAAATTCGGGTTCCTGGGCCCTACGTGAACCTGCTGAGTCAGAATCTCTGGGGATAGGGAGTTTGGGGTCTGCATCCCCCCCACCCCCCGCCCCGCGCTCCCCCACCAGTCATTGGTGTGCACACCAAGGTGGAGAAACCACTGGCTTAGAGCTTATATGGCACCTACCTCTCTAATAAGAAAATGATTCAATTAGTGAAAGCGCCTCATTCCCAGGGAAATCTGGATTCTCAGGCATGGGTCGTTACTCTATTTGTTACAACACAATCTGACCTCTAAGCCCAAATGGATTTTCCTCCTTTTCAATCTGCAATCTTCCCCATTTGCTTTTGATAATTAAAATGCATTTTAAAGAAACAATCTACAGGAACTCTAAGAGCACATTTTTAAAGGTTAAAGCATGGGGCACACTGTCCTTTAGGGATGGTTGTCCTCTTAACATTTCCAGATTAGCTTGTAGTGAAGCACACACACACACAGACAAATGCCCCCACTGCTTCAACTTCCCGGGCTAGCTGAACATCAGGTACCGAATAACAACAAATAACAACAATCGAGAGCCCTCCATCCTTTGTTCGTGTATTCCAACCTAGCCACCCACAGGCCCATATTCTACAGAGAGGGTTCATAGCCACCGTTCCAGAAGAGGAGTTCCTACTCTGAAATGACGTGGAAAATACCTTTTCCTCACCCATGGGGAGTCTGAATCTTGGCTTGAGCCTTTGCTCATCCGTCAGAAATATTTTACCAAATGCAGCTACCTGAAGCACGCAAAGTCATACAGACCATATAAATTGCCTTTCCAAGCCACCAAAGTGCAATCTTACCTCCCCTTTATCTCCTCACCACCCCCACTCCCCTTGCTTGTGTTTAAAAATAAAACCCAATTCTGCTGACAACTGGTTTTCTTGCCTCACCACAGGAAGTGGACTGGGTGAGTTCTCATGTCACATGGTTAACAGAGTGCACCGCACAGTGTCTGTGGGACACCTGCTTTTGGGGGCTGAAGGGAGCCCTGCAGGCCCAAGAGCTGCGAAGGAACTTCCCCGGGGTGCCGTGCCGCAGCCTTGGGCTCCTGGGAGGTGGGAGGCCCCGCTGCGTGGGCTCCCTAGGGCTATTGAGGAGGCTTACGGTGGACCCGGTGGCCTAGGCAACCTGCGTCAGGCTTGGTCACTCACAGCGCTGGGCTTGTGAAAGGCATTCATCTTTAATCCCTTCCTGTCCCTTGACTTCTCTCTCCAACCCCACCTTTCAAAAAAAAAAAAAAAACACAAAAACACACCAAACCAACAACATAAATACATCTGCCCTCTTTGCTCTACTAAAAAGGAGAAAGGAAAAGAACCAAAAAAGAACTGTCCTAAACTTCTTTCCTGCTCTCTACAATTAATTACAAATTAGAACTGGGAAATCATGCAAATGATAGTGAAATATGATGAAAATGAAATATGATATGAGCCAACCTCTAGAGTTAGGCTTTGGGTTCAACAGCAGTGCGTGTAGATCCAGATGAGGTTTGTTTTTGTTTTTGTTTTTCTTTTCTTTTCTTTTTCCCAGACTTATCGAGGTATAAATGACAAATAAAATTGTGTATGTTTAAAGTACTCAACGCAACAATTTGATGTAAAATGAGGTTTTGTATGTCGAGAGTTCGGTGGTTTTCATGCACCCTGGGGATGTGAAAAGCAATCCACTGACCTCTGAAAGAAAACTTGTTTCCTATTTATTGTTTATCTAAAGTAGTAATAAAGAAATTGAGCATTACAAATATTCAGTAAACAGACTGTCACTGGTGCCCTCCCCAGGATGTGAATGTCAGATGACAAGGTGGGCTGTCTGGATGGAAGGAGGGCGAGATCCAAGCAGCAACAGGTTGATGTTGATGGTGGGTCATTTTACGTGTGTCTGGACTGTGTTACCTAGTTTTAACTAAACTAGTCCCTATAAAATGGACAAGTGGTTAGGAAAGGCTCCTGTTGAGAAGCCACAAATTGATGATGCCCCTAATAATGTAAGCAGAAGCCAGCCACAAGAAAATGGCAGAGCTGACACTTGTCTTGGGATGAGCTTTCTGTCAGCTACATTGTGAGATCAACATTAAAAAACAATGATGCCACGTTGTATGGTGACAGATGGCAGCTACACTTGTGGTGAGCATAGCATAATGTATAGAGATGTTGAATCACTATGTTGTACACCTGGAAGTAACATAATATTGTGTGTCAACTGTACTCAAAAACGTTTTTAAAATGATGCCAATGATCATCTGATCATCTCCGATAAGTCAGGCAAAAATACTCAAAATTATCTAGTGGGCTATTTGAAATAAGGATGTATAGCCACTACCTTTAATGTCAGACTTCAAGTGAAGTGCGAATCGTTCTTTGAAATTTTGATTAGTGTTAGTATGAGGGTATTACAAATTATTGTTTATTTTTAATCTAATATTTGAATTTCCATTTATGTATGTTTTATGAATGTGTAGAAAACTTCTAAGTGAATAAACACACACATTTTAGAAGCAAATATTCCACATGTCTTTCCCGATAGGAATGCAGGACTACTTTGGAGATCAGTACTGTCCGTCACAGAGTGTTGAGCTGTGGTCAGATTTCGGGTCAGATCAGGTGACCCCCATTATATATAGGAAAGCAGATGCCCAGAGAGAAAAGGACCTTACCTTAGGGTTAGCACTGCTAGTTAGTACCATCCCCTCAACCAGAAAACCGAGGTCCTAGAGAATGAGGTGACTTGCTCAGGATCACACTGCTAATTAGGGACAGAGCCGGGATTCTTTTGATTTTCAGAAGTTGCCCCTCTATACACACACACATAGGGAAACACGAAAACTGAGCAAACACTAGAAACTCCCGCAGAACTAAAAACCATCAGAGTAGAACCCGAAAGATGGTAGGCAAAAAGCCATTGGGACCTACCTATGCCCATTATACTTACAATAACTCCTGGGTAATAACCTCCGACAGTCACATTCTGGGTCCTAGTGGTTGCGGCAAGGCCCACCGTGAGAATTAACACAGACACGATAAGCAAAGTCACGGTGACATAGATGGAGTTTCGTTTCCTTCGATTGAAGGCTCCTGAAAGCACACAGAGAAACTGAAGCTGCTCATTGTGGCCAGAGAAGGAATGGGCTTACAGGAGAAATTAGGAAGGTCTTCCTTTCCTACTCCAACTGGTTCCTGGGATTATCTCTGGGGAGTGGGATTATGGGGAAGGGATGGGGCTTCGTTTTTTTTTGCAGTCATCAGGTGCCATGTTTACAATAAAACAAACAAACAAACATATTTCTAGTTTGAAAATGAACAACAGAAGAAATCTTACCAGTTACATAAAAACGGAAAACAAATTTTTGTGCTCTCCGCATTCTATAAAAGATGTGTCATATCCACTTAGTAGAGTGTTTTTTTAGGCCAAATTATAAGGCATATGATAAATGGGAAGTGTACGTGTGGAGGTATTAAATGAAAATATTTTAAAGCCATTAAGCGACCGAGAAGGGTTTTTTCATAAGCTGGAGATAGGAAATTTCATTTTCAGTGTAAATATCACAACCAAGCCAGGTACTGGGATTTTTTTTTTCATTTATTTCTGACATTTGCCACCTCATGTATAAACTTTAAAATGGTGTGTTGGGTTGGCAAGATTTCTCACATAATAAATGTGTGTAATAAAGTAAGTGTTTGGAGGCCATTAGTCCACAAAGATATGTATCGGGGGAGGTAGATGGGAAAGATTATAACTTATACACATTTGGGCTTATGTGAGGGTGACATAAATATAAATGACAAGAAACCCGTTCTCCTACTCAGTGCTTATCAGACATGATAGCGCAAACCAATATTTTTTTCGGAAACAGGCTTATTAAGTCAGATAGAAAAATGGCATCTAGACTCGCTTTTGAATTTAATTTTTTTTTAAGGAATTAAGCACCGCTCCACACTCTGCCTGCATTTCTCTGGCGAGGGGGAAGGGGCTCTCAGCAGGAAATAGCAGGGATGAGTTCCCACCTAGGAGTTCAGTAAACATAAGCAATGGGGGAGGGAGTAAGAGAGTCCAGTTCTCCAGTGAGAAGGATGAAGCAGCGGGGAGCCTTATGATGGGGTCGCCCACCCAGGCGGCTTGAGTGGCATTTATGGGCCTAAAGAGGCCACTAGAATCTGCTCCCAGGACCCCATCATTCTGGGAGGCCTCTCTGCAGCCTCCAGGCAGCAGCCGCCTTTGAAGCCGCCCAGACTGCACCACTGGGAGGGAGGGGAGAGGGGAGGGAGACGAGACAACTGGGGAGACCCGGGGGCCAGGTGTGCGGAGGGAAGGGCTGTGCCTTCCGCTGTGGACGTAGAGAGCCAGGAGTGCCACCCTGGGTTCGCTCCACCACCCATCTTGTCTTGCCCAGTGCGGGCCCTGCCGAGGGCTCCCAGGGAGGTGGGAGGGGCTGGCGGTCTCCCCTGACGTCAGCCTGCAAAGTGAGGGACATGACTCATCAGGGTCATTTCTAATGCGATCCCGTTCTAAGACTATTTCACATTGAAATGTACAAGGGGCCGCAGGGGTGACAGGGACCCATGGCCTAAAGCGCCAGACCTCGCCCTGGGAGGAGAGGTAGGGAGAGTTGGGAGATGAGGCTCCTCTCCAGTGGGGCCTGAGTCCTGCCTCCTCGGGGAAGGGGCATAAAGGAACTCTAGTGACATCAGGGCCCTGCGTGAGAGAGGGCTATTTGGGATGCAGATGGCAAGCAGACTGGCGGAAACACCGTGAGCAGGGCTGGGAGAGGCGGCCCAGGGTGGGGAGGGGGAAAGGGGGGCAGGATTTATTTCCTGTTCACCTGAAGGTTAGTTTATCCTTCCGTGGCATCTCCAGAGGCCCTAAATGAGTGTCTGAACCGGGGTCCCTGCACCTATTTGATGACAGACACTTCGCAGTGAATCTTCGAGTTGGTTCCACTGAGGGGCTCTAACAGAAACCTACCATCACCATCGCCTTCCATTCCACCTGCCTTCTCCGATGTCACTCGCCCCATATAAGCCTTCCCCTGCCTCAGATTAGCAAAAGACAGTGAGGGAACACCTGGAGACATCTTTGTGACACTGAAAAGTGTCTCAACACCTCACACGGAAAACGTAGAACTTTAGAGACTAAATTGGGGGAGTGTGCATGTGGTCTTCCTCATCCCCCCCCCCTTGCATGCTCCTTTCCTGCCAAGTGGCTTTAAATCCTATTCACAGCTCTTGGGTCTTCTTTGCAAATATCACTCTAGCTCTTAAAAGCACAGGAGCCAGGTCAGAAAAGTGACTCAGCAAACCACATGGTGTCATTTGAAAAATCTATTTTTTCCCCCCTGCTTTAGAACCTGAACTGAAAATCCAGTCAGTTGAGAAGCCCAGGCAAAGAGCCTACACACTTACCAGGGCCTTTCCTCCAGATAGGATTTGCTTTGAAAATTCCCAAGTAAACTCTGTTATCAGTAGGTTGAATATCTACTCTGTCCCCCTCACACCTTCCCCCAAGTCACTCCGTACTTTACACTATAAGGAATATAATTGTGTAAGTTGAAATTATTTCTAGTTGCACTTGGGAAGTTGAGCATCATAAGGAACCTCGGGGTGAATGCTTTTGAAAAGTGAAGAATCACGTCTCCATTTCCCTTTAGTGTCAATTCCACTTAAAAGTCTCATCTACTTAGAGCAAGACACACCTGCTCTCTGAATGCGTGGTCCAGGCTACTAAAAAGTAGCTCATTTTGTCTGTTTGGGACATTTTCCTGGTGGTTGTTTCATCGCAGAAGGGAGCCCTGTTCTTATTAGGGTATAATGTGGGGCCTGCCTTAGATGTTCTCATGAACCCAGGAACATCTGATTCTGATTTTGTTCAATCAATCCATCGAAAACCTCCATCTGATACCATGAGGTACTTAAATAAAGCAGGAGGTTCTTGAAAACAGTGCCTATCGCAGTGTTTGATATCTAGAGTGCAGTCAATACTTGTTGAATAAACAAGAGGCAGCATATCGGAATTGCTTCCCTTCTAAGCAAAAAGGCGTGTGCATGCGGGGGAATTGTGTGAATAAATATAAGCTGGGTTCATAGACTGGATTTTTAAAAATAGGGCACACCTGAGGGGTCCCCAGAACTAAAATCCTTCTGTTCAACTAGTGTCACACAACCCCGATGTCTCTCAGTAGCCTGTCAACTTGCCACCCAGTATATTTCTGTTTAAACAACCACCACCACCCCTGCAACCAACAGCAGTGGGAGAGTCTGAAATCCTGTCATGGGCTTTGCCTGCTCCCCTTCCGCCCCCAGCAGCTTCCCTGCAGAACCACTGCAGACCTCTCTCTCTCTCTCTCTCTCTCTGTCTCTCTCTGCAGTGCCCCACCTCCACCCCAGATTCGTGAGGACCGGGATGCTCAGCTCTAGAAGCGCCCAATTATTTGCTGTCTCCACCCTTCTAGATACAGCCTGGTTCCCCCGCCCACTCCCTGGTCAGAGCCCCCACCTGCACTGCGGTCTTTGAATCTGAGTCCCTCCCTCCCTCGAAAACCTGCTCAAAACTCACCTCCTCAGAAAGTTTTCCTTACCAAACTTACTCTCCTCTAATTGCTCATTATCTCGTGTCCCAGAGTTCCTATATATACCTTACTCAGTACACATATTAATTGTAACTGCTACGATCACTGTTGTAATTGTGGGTCTGGTACACAACCCATATGATAACTCCAGTTTGGGGATTATGTATCTGACAGGAATGCAGGTGTGGGTTGCCAGGAGGTGGGATGATTGTCTCTGCTTACTGATGTTTTACCCTGTGTATGTTCTTGGTCACCCCCTTAATAATAGGGTGCAGTAACCGCTGTCAGAGGGCAGCAAGGACCAGGGCCCAGTATCCTGTCCTGTACACTATGTTGTCGATGACTGGCTAACGGGGGTGGGGGCCGGTGCTCATCTTTTCAACGGTTTAGGATTTGCTTACCTGAGTGAGCTTTGCCACACAGGGAGGGTCCCAGGAAGTCCCAGCCTCACGTAGGTGGAAACAGGTGGCTGCCCAGAAAAGACCCTCAAGGCTCTGCCAATCTCCCAAACATTTCCTTAAAGGTGCTTATATCCAGTGTCCTGACCCCCCTCCTTTTGCAGTTCTTTGACCAAAGACCTCCAAGGCCACTGGTGAATTACAAATGTGTTACTTGGGAGGGAAGGGGGGTCCCCCGCTGTAGTAGAGATGCCTTAGCGCCTGGGGTCGGTGTTGCCAAAAGGGAAAAGGGGGTTGCTGGGAGGTGGGATGTAGGGGCGCTGGAGTTCAATTACCATCTTCATATTGCCCAGCGCCGCTAGGACCGTCCCTCTCCAGGCAGCCAGCAAGCGTAGCGCGCAGGCACCTTGGTGCAATGTGTGTCTGTGTGTTTTAAATTTTATTGTTGGGGCTGCAGTTGTGTCTTGCCGGTGGAGGAAATCCCCTCTGAAATGCTGCCCCTTGGGGGCTGTAACACTACCCCCACCTCCACTCTCCTCCCCCGCCATGCAAGGGAAGGTGGTGTTGCCAAAGCTGAGTTAAATGGGAGTAGCTCCTAAATAGCCTAGACGCTGATTCAGGCCTTGGTTGTGCGGGACCCGAGCCAGGGAACTCCGGGGAGACTCCCCTGTCCAAACTGTGGAAACCCAGGGTTACCACTCGACTCAGGAATTCGCTAGTGCCCTCGGTCTGCGGACTTTACAAAGCGGGATGCGTGGAGCAGGCTCGCGCGTCTATAAGGGATCTACAATTCTTTGCCCGCAGTGTGGAGTCTGGGCTGGGCAAAACCCACTCAGCTTCTTGTTGCTCAGACCTTTCTAGAAACGTAAGATTGGCCGAGGGCCCCCAGGAGCCCAAGAAAGAACTCTCTTCATCGTGTTCCCCCACCCACAGAGCCGTGTGCCTAGTAGCGACAGTTAAGGCCCTGGCCCCCTAACCTGCGCACTCCCCCGCAGGCAGAGGGCCCGGCGCGGGAGGCCGGCTTTGCGGGTGGCTGTGGCCCGCTGCGGGAATGGGCGCTGCGGGCCCTCGCGCTCTTCCCCCCCAGCCCTCCCTGGCGCAACAGTCTGGCGTCGGGGAGCCAGGGGCTGCGCTGGCGCCACAGCTGGCCAAGGTGAGGAGTGCATTCTGTGTGCAAGTGTGGGCGCGTGCGTGAGTGTTTGTGTGTGTGTACGCGCGCGCTTGTGCTAGACAGCTGGGGGGAGTCTGGTACTGCTGGGTTCTGGATTCGGACCCAAGTCCTTGGCCTTATTTGGACCACACTCTTAAAAATAAAAAAGATCAAGTTCTTATACTGAATATGCAGAACCATTGAAAATACGGATCTTCCCACCATCTAGGAGATGACACTTTCAGGGGCCCCTCCGGTGAACGAATTCTGTTGAGACTCGGTCTTATGCAGGCTGACATAGGGGGTTCAACCCTCTCCCCGCCCCCTCCTCTAGGGATGTTCCCATGAATTCATTACAGAAGACCTGAGCAGATTGGATGGCAGGAATTCGGGATGGAGGAAATTTGCAGAATGTAAAGTATGTTGGCAAGACATAATTTGATTTGGTTCGAGTGTATCCGAGGCGAATTTTAAGATTAGGTGGGATCATGGTTTGACAATCCCCTCCCGCTCTCCTGGGCTCCAAATTAATTTCTCCGCCCAGTGAAATCATAGGGCTTGGGAAGGTGCCTAACAGCTGAGGGGGACTGGGTTTGTGTTCTGTTTGTAACTACCAAAAAGCAGCTTCAAGGGACAGCCAAGTTGGTGTCTAGAGGTAGCTGTGCCCCAGATGTGAGGAGGAAAAGTGTTGAACCTAATCAGCTGGTGGGTCCCCCTCCCCCTCCATTACACCCCGAGAGAGAAAGAGCGACTTCGGAAGGTGCGCGGGCTCGCGCTCGCTCTTTCTTTCTCGCGCTCTCACTCGTCCCCCCCCACACACACTTTTTTTTTCACACTCACGCACATTCCTTGCATTTGGAGCAGAATAGGAATCAAATTCAAGGAATGTGGATCCTGACGTTGCAGACGGCAGGGATGGGCTGTCTTGAGTGATTCCTTAGGAATTCCCCTCCCGCCAACCCCCCTCCTTTCTTCCCCCCCCCGCCCATCCCCCAGGGTTGCGCAACACCCCCCCATCAGCGAGGTGCAAGTCTGCCCCCCCCCGCAGCTCTGAATTTCTGGGCAGCTTCGACAGAGTTGGGAGGGGGCGAGGACTCTGCTTCTCCTAATTGTCGTTAGTCGTGAGCTCTTAGAAGTGACGGGGACTTTGCAAACAGGGAGCGTCGAATGGAAAGCGAAGGCGCAGGTTGCAGGGAAGTGTTTTGATCCCCAGACAGCTGGAATTTACCACCGGCTGCAAGTCTGTCGGCACACGCACACGAACACGCACACGCCCGCACTCCCGGGCGCCGGTACTCCGACGCAAGCTTGGCGCTCCCGTCTCAGCGCGTCGCCCCCGCCCCCCCCCGGGCCGCTCCCCTGGGGCTCGGGTCGGCCACCCAGACGCTGGGGCGCGCGGACCCCCTACCTAGCCCCGCTTCCCGCTCCATGGCTCCCGGGGCGGCCGGGGCGCTCGTGGTCCAGAGGGCAGCGCACTCACCCCTAGCTGCCGCCGCCCCGAGGAAGGGCGGCGGGACTTACCCATGGAATCGGGCAGGGACATGTCGCTGGACCGCTGCTGAGTCAGGGACTGATGCATGGTGAAAGCTGCCCTGTGGCCCCGGCCCCCGAAGCTGCTTCACGCACCCCCGGCTCAGGGCGCCCCGCAGAGCATCCTACTCCGCGGCTGCCGCTCCCCGTCCCTCCGAGAGCTGAGAGAGACTGCCTCTGGTTGCGAGCTGCAGCCCAAGTGTCGCCTCCCCCTCCTTTCCCCTCTTCTCCCTCCCTCCTCTTCTGCCTCCCTCTGCTCCGGGAGGCAGCAGCATTGGCGGTCCGATCAGCGGCGTGCGCTTGCGCAAGACCCCCCCTCCCTCCCCCTCGGCCCCCCCATCCTAGTTATCCACCTCCCAGCCTCCCAAGCCAGACAGGGAGCCGTTTTCGCCCCTTGGGGCCAGGGCTGCGCAGAGAAAGAGGGGGAGGCTACAGCCTGGGGCCAATCGGCCTTCTCTGTACTTCGGAGAGAGGGTCTTGGGCAAGCATCCTGTTCTAGGATTTATAATTGGGGAAAGGGCACAGTCAGAGGTTCAGAGCTGATGAACACACACACACACACAGAGGCACGCGAGCGCGCATGCACACACACACACACACACACACATTTGTGCAGGTTGGTCTTAGTGCTTCCAGAATGACATAATGGAGCTGGAGATGATCCAGAGAAGGGCCACTCTATAATCAAGGGAATGGGGGAGGGTAGAGGGGCTGCCATATGAAGATAGATTAAACAAACGCAGACTCTTTAGTCTAGAAAGATGAAGGCTGGGAAGGGATGTGACCAGAGTGTATAAAATTATGCAGAGATGGAGAGAGGGAACACAGCCTTATTCACCAGGTCTGAGAATTCTAGAACCAACGGCCCCCTAAGAGCTAGAAGGAGATTCAGCTAAAGCAAATATGACTCTGCATCAGCACCATCCCAGTTTGTGCTTTGGTCAAGATGCTTTTATGTCAAGGATCTCATCTCATCACAGCAGCCGTGCAAGGCTGGAAGAGGAAGTATCCATAATCCCATTTTACAGATGAGGAAACTGTATCTCAGAGAAGACACGAAAATTTCCTGTAGCCACTCAGCCAGTAAGTGACAGAGGTGGGATTTGAACCCAGATCTGTTGGACCCTCAGGCTGGTGCTCTTGCTGCCATGGCAGCTGAAAAGACATATTACTCTATATGGTGTATTGAAAACCTAAGGAATTCATTAGCCCCAAGAGGTGCAACAGGATGTAAACACAAGTAGCTTTGGAAAGAATGAAATAGCTGTGGCCGCCAGAATCTGCTGTGGATTGCTAAGGGAAGGGTAGAGGGGAAACGTCCTTGATCTTGGAGGACAGCAAAGTCCCTCCTAACTGATCCTTCCAGACCCCGTTAGGATATTGGGCTGGGATCACTACCTTGTCAGCCCAGAAGGTGGTTTTGAGTTCTCAAAACAGTAGCAGAGCAGAATGAGGTGGAAGGTGAGGAAGAGGATAACAGTGGGCTGCAGTTCCCTCCGCAACCCAGCCCTGTGGGCTCCGCATCCCATGGAATTTACCTGTTTGAAGGCATCCATTCTGCCCAGTGAGAGCTCCCAGGTTCTTATTGCCAGGTCTCCTTCCAACCAGCTCCCCTGATGGTAGTGGCAACCCTCTTTCTGTGTTTTCCCGCCGAAAAAAAAATCAAGTATAAAATTCACCTGAGAGTCTATGGGATGAAGAAGAGAACTTGGTTCTTTCCAGCTCTGGCTTGCTCATCTACTGTGAGGCTTTGTTTCATTATCCATGAAATGGAACCAAGGGTCCTTGCCCTTTCCCATCTCCCAAAGGAAGAAAAAGATGATTCCTGAAGGTTAAAAAGGAAGCCCTTTGTAAAGAACTTGAGCACCCCAGGGGCCTGGCTGAATGCCGTGTCAGGTATTATTAGCAGCTTTACACTATAGATGTGGTTTAGAAATCTGTGATATGTGTCCTAGATAGAGACAAGATGCCCACGGGTGTAGTAGAGGTGTGTGTCTTAAGCATGCTTGGCTCATGTGTCGATCTCCAGTAAGCTCCACAAAGGCAGGGAGCAGTCCTGTACTTATACTTTTGCCATGTTTGTCTTCAATTCTGGTTACTTATCCCCACCTCTTTCACTCTAAATATCTCATATATTTAATGTGAAGACCTCCTGCAACCAGTATTAATTTTTCAGGAGTTCTTCATAACTAACTGATTTTGTTTGGAGAAAAGGGGGTTTATACAGGCTGGAAAAGACGTCTTTCTACATTCTTTAGAGATTTTGGCTTCCCTCTAGCAACCAGAGAGCTCGCAATCCCTAAAGAAGCCAAATAGAAACTTGTTACCATGTTGGTGTCGATGGACAGACAGAGGTGCATTACCCATCAATTGATACAGAGGGCCTATGTAATTTGACCTTTACAAGCAAAGCCATAAACGAGTGAGGGAGGGCTTGCTTTATGCAACATCTGTATTTCCAAATCCTGCGTGAAAATTAAAAGCTATTTCGAAAAAGTATGAGAGGAGCTGGCCATTTAGAAGAACTGCATACTGTATATTTCCTTCATATGTCTCTTGGGGGTACCTTATGGGACTTGGAACACAGCAGGCTCTCAGTCAAGTTAAAAATGACTTTGAGACCAGGAGCAATGACCATAGCAGCAGCTGCAGCAGCTCAGTGAGTAGTAGCAGGCTTCTCCCCAGAGATGGTGTGCTTATTTGGACAGAGGATCTGGGATAAGGGGAGGGACTAGGATGGGAGCTTGGAAAAGAAAAAAATAAAAAAGAAAGAAAGCAACCCACATTTCAAACAAGACTGGCACAAAGACCCCTTTTCCTACCCCACCCCAAAAGAAAAAAAAAGAAAAGAAAAGAAAAAAACCAGTGTATTTTACTCTGAATGAGCTGGACAATTAAAAAGCAAGAGGCAGTTTTTTTCATGGGCTCTATCCTGATTTTTTTAATGTCAAAATGCATGTAGATTTTATACAGTAATAGGCTCGTAGTAAAATTTACCAATAGAAAAGCCACCTAAATGAAGGAACAGGTCTTTCATGCCAGCGAAGGCTACTATAAAACTGCTTGGTTAGCTTTGGATAAAAAATAAATTATTAAAATGGCTTAAAATAAATCCTTTTCATTGCAAGCTTAATCAAGCATACAGTGTTGCCCTGGGTTGCAAACTGTTTTATAGCACGAGGAAAACATTTGCCAATGGGGCTCTGCAGCCTGCTTCTCTCCATCTTCTTCAAACCAATGATGAGAGTGCTCCCTCGAAGGCTTCGGACCACTAGAAAAATGCCAGATGGTGTTCTGTCTCTAACACATTCACCCTGGGAATAGCCAGAGCACTCCATCACCTTCTTATTTTGATGATCAATTTGACAAAATTATTGTAGAGCCTCCCTGATTCCACTTTTGAGAAATGTAGGCTGGCGGAGTCATGTCCACGTGGATACATACACATAAAGGCATTCATGCATATTTGGAATGGTGGCCACACAAGTATTCACAAAAGCACACACACATACACACGCACACATCCCAGCCATTCTCTGTCCACCCTGGTTATCACCACCTACCTCCCTCTCAGCTCCTACACTTGAGTTGACTAAAGATAGAAAGGAGCTTCAGAATAATGGAGAACCTCAAAGTGTCCAAACATCCCTAATTGAGGTTGGGGTTGCATTTTCCAAACTACCTTAGGTCAATGCCTAATACCCAGCACCTGCGCCACAAACAGCTGAATCTTCACTGTGGAGAACCATGTTTGATGGTGTGATTTCCCCCAAGGAGCTTGACTGGCTCCCATTGTCGGCTGGTCATTTTCTTTGGGTACCAGGAAAAAGCATCTCAGCACCAGAAAACAATGCTTGGTACTTATCTTTACTTTGTCACTGTTTTTTTCCTATCCTAGTGACCGAACACTGTAAGTACCAAACATTGTGTTTTTCAATACCAGTAAGGAAATTTTGGTAACATGATTTTAAAGGAATGGAACATCATTTAATCACCAATCCCTGTTATTGGATACTTCAGAGGTTTCCAGTTTTTCAACATTTATAAATAACACAATGAACTAAATATTTGCATCTTTATTATCATAGGATATAATGTTATAGTGGAACCATCCGTTCAAAAGTTTCACATATATATTTTCTAACAAAACATTTTTATCACCATACATATGGTAAGGTGCACAGGTCTTAAGTATACATATCAATAAATTTTTATATATACACCCCTGTAGCCACCACCCAGATCAAGATGTTGAACCTTTCCAACATCCCAGATGGCTCCCTTGAACCCCATTTCCGGCCAGTAACCCCCCACCAGAAGTAACCACTATCCTGATTTCTATCATCAAGTCTGAATATTTTTTAAAAGATTTTATTTATTTATTTATTTATTTATTTATTTATTTATTTATTTGAGAGAGAGAGAGAGAGTATGAGCAGGGGGAGGCCAGAGGGAGAAGCAGACAGACTCCTTGCTGAGCAGACCCAGGGGTCGATCCCAGGACCCTGGAATCATGACATGAGCCAAAGGCAGACACTTAACGGATTGAGCCACCCAGGCATCCCCAAGTCCGAATATTTTTGAGGCTTTTTTTTTGAGGCTTTTAATGCATATTGCCAAATTGTCCTCCAAAATACTTGTGGCCAAGTTCCTTCCCACCATCAACATGTCCAGCATGTGTGTGGATCCTCACACTCTCTTGGCTTTACCTTGCAAAGGAGATGTTTCAGCATTTAAGACACACACCTAGTTACAGCCAGAGACAGGCAGGGCCAGTCAGGAAGCTGGATCGGGGTTCAGCTGGGTACTAGGCACCTGGTGGGAACCACAGATCTAGGAGCCAGGAGGGAGACAACACAGTGTCACCGTCCATGAGAACCTTAGAAACCTCCAGCTGCTTAGTTGTTCTCATTATTGTATTCATCATTGTTCTCTGTTGCATGTACCCAAAGTCTCCTTTTTACATAGCTTTCAAAATGTCCATAACGATCACTTAGTTATGCCTGGTCCATAGTAGGGACTTAAATAACTGTTGAATATATGGCACTTTTAATCTATTGCTTTTTTTCTGCTTACTGGAATAAAACATGACACTGTAAAAATTCTCCAAAC